TAATACGAAACAGCCCAAAAGCAAATGAAATTTTTTTAAAATAAACGAAAAAAAATATAACCAAAACAATGAGAATAAAATACAAAAAAATAACTATGCCACCAAATATTTAAAACAAGCCAAAATAGTGTGTCTAGGCTAATATACAATTAAATATCAAAAAAATTAAGTCGAACCAGGACATAGCTTAAAGGCTTTTAACTATTAATTATGCTATTTTTATATAATAAGATCAGATCAGTATTGATCACAAATCATTTTATTTTTTTATTCTAATAGTAAAATTCTAATTATATCGATATCATTAATTGTAAATATATTATTATTAGTGTTGTTAAAAAGCCCTATTGAATGGTTCGATTTAGATCTTAACCAAAACAATATTATTTAAGCCTGAAGGTTTGTCAAATAGATGTCTAAACCGTTCAGCCATCTATGTGCAAAATCTTAAGGCATACATAATATTATTATCGGAATTTGTTACAATACTAATTATTATAATAAGTATCAACTGTATTAAATTGTTAATACGTTTTAAATAAATATTTTTATATACTTAAAAAAATATTTTTTAACAAATAGCAATATTTTACCGGCCAAGTGTTTTTCCAGTGTTACTATTTGACCTATCAAATGACTGGTTTACCAATATTTATAATATCCTATATATCAGAGACAAGGATAGATGTGTAAAAAAAATCCATTAACGGATGGAACACATTTTTAAATTATGCATTTTTTTAAAATGCCCCCCTCCCCCTCATTACTCATTCGTCAGCCCAACAGGTTTTTATATATCTTTATTGTTCTTCCGGCATCACGCTTCCAAAAGCTAATTTTAAGATGGGTCGGGCTAAAATTAGTTATCCGAATCGGGTCTGCACTGCGGGCCATATATTTATAGTATAAACATTACTAATTCTGAATAAATCTATAAGGATATTTTATGATTTAGTATTTAATAACCAAAATATGAATATATTCTCTATGTAAAATACAAAACAAACAACTATCTAGCGTCATTAAGGGGGGGGGCGCTGGGGTTTGAGCCACCTGAAAAATTTAAAGACACTCCTCAAAATTTTGAATTTTTTTTATACCACTAAAATTAAAAGATAATTTAGGATAATGTTAGCTAAGAAAAAAAGGTTTTTAGATAATGATAGCTAAAATAAGGTAATTTTGGATAATAATAGCTAGAAAAAATTAAAAATAACTTTAAAATAATTTTTGAATCCCCTGAGATTCTAAAGGCTAGTGACACCTCTGCAACTATAATTAAATGAAATTTAATTCATGAAACATTATTATTATTTAAATAACTACATCATATTAAAAAAAGAAAAAGTTCTAATCTATAAAGTATGTCTAAACAATGACATATGTCATTGTATCTAAATGTCATAATGGAATATTAGAAAAAAGTAGCAAAAATTTTTCTATAATATGAAAATTCATATTTTCATTTTAATGAGGGAAATTTAGTTTAACTAAAATTATATTAATTTAAGAAAAAAAATATACAGATAAGTCATATACAGCAACAACTTATGTTTATTATAGGGTAGTAAAGATAAATATAATAATTGATTTAAACATATTTTTAATACGACTCGTAGGAGATTTATTCTGTGACATTATATATCCTTTATTCTATTTTTTTGTGTAGGGCAGGTAATTTATTTTTAGTAGAGGAAAAAAATTATTTGTCTCTTATATGATTTACATATCAGATATTGGAACTTAATAAAAATACAATCCATTGATTTTTATTTCGTCACAAATTATGGACAACAATACATAGGTTTATCCAATATTTTATACTTCTCTTATTGGCGTACGCAGTGGGGGGGGGGGCAGTAAGACAACCCCCCCCCCTACCAAGTCAAAAAATGCAGATGCCAGATATATTTTTCAAAAATATTATTGTTTAGAGTGTAGTGCAGATTTAATTTAAACATTTCCATATTTTTTAATTCGTTTGTAAATAAAAATTTTAACTTGTAAAAATTGATAAGAATGTATAAATATGTTATTTTAACAACTTTTTACAAGTCAAATAATTTTATTTTCAAATAAATTAATAAATATGGAAATGTTTTGAATTAAATTAACACAGTACATATTTATTTATATTTGTTAATATTTATTCCTATCTCATATAAATATATATTTAATTACATTTAATCACATTCATAACTAAGTTTATCAATTAATTTCGATTTCAAGTTTTCCTGCGTATTTTATCTTATTATTTTCAAATTTTTAGTGGCGTAATATTTATCTACCATTTTTAAATTTCTAGTCAAATAATAATTATTCTGAAATTGTCCAACAGGGAGAAAGAAATTGCAACCTTGTCCTACGAGATAGAGTCTCCGCCATCAAGCAATAACAGCTTTTATGGAGTTAGAAGCCGATTATTTGCTATTAGTGACATATCACAATGGCTGAAATAAATTTTTCCTTAGAAGCAAGAAAATTATTGGATTCAATGCTTATTCCAAATTTTTTTTCTCATTAGAATGTACAATTATTTTATGTATTACTTTTCAAAAACATGATGACTTGATTAAGAAGATGAGAATAGCGGAGATTTTATTAGAATTCAAGGAAATTAGGGCTAATGTTTATGAAGAATTTCATGTTTTATATGTTATTGTTAAGTCAAAAGCATAGCTCTGTGTGTTTAATATTTGTCTCACTCGACTTGCAGCAAGGCAAGCTCATAGTTAAAATATTTAATATAGGATCAGTAGATAGAAGAGTATATCTTAGATACAAATACATTTATAAACCAAATAAATGAATGGTTTTTAATTCATTATGCGGCACTTACCAATCTGCAAATATTATTTCCATAAAAGCCTTCCCAATCTTTTTCAGATACTGATAGAAAAAAAATATTTGTTGGATTTTTATCATGAAGATGTTAAAGTATCCTATGATGCCTTATTAGCTGAATAACTATGTTTATAAGATTAACTATGGTTGATACAGTCCCAAAAAATGCTATGGATGCTCTGCATTATTTCAAACACATTTTAGATTATATTCCCAATGTATTAAAAGGGTTTATATATATTAGCAACTCTTCCCAATAGTAAACTAATGAGAGAACATTCTCTCTTTTAAGAAGAATAACAAAGCCCTGCAGAGGTATCATTTGCAGGGCACGACTCGGATTTTTTTAAAGATTTTTACGGCTAAGCTCAAATTTCAGGCCCGGCCCGGTCCGGCCTAAAATAAAATTTTCAGGCCCGACCCGGATTTTTTTAATATAAATTATATTTATTTTTGATTTTGATAGCTAATAATAACGATTTCAAATATAGGCTGTTTTAAAATATACAGTTCGGCCCAGATATTTTTTTTAAAAAAATAGGCCCGGCCTAGATGTTTTATTTTTAAAATTCAGGCTCAGCCCGGCTGTTTTTTTTAAAAATTTCGGGCTCGGCCATACTGTCCGGCCCGGGGGCCGGGCCTGCAGGTCTCTGAAAAACATACCAAGAAGTACAACTTTTAAAAGTAGATTGAAAGGTTTGGATCTTTTGAATATTCATAGGCATTTGACAACAAGCAAGGATGAGATAATTGAAAAATTAGCTCAATCCCAACGAAGATTGGATTTTACATTGTAAATATGTAACATACAAAATACAATTATTCCCTAAGCTTTTTGTGTATTAATTTATATTTCTAAAATTTAAATTTTTTATACTTTATATATAAATTTTAAAGCTAAAAAAATTCAAATTTCTATTTTGGGTCATTTAAGTGATTCTTTACATATAATTTTTTTATAATTCACATTAATTTAAAATTGTGTATTAGAAATGTTATTAGTCCTAATAAATTTATGCTTGATATTTTTAAAAAACAATAATATTTCTTAAAAAATTTTACTATCCCCCCCCAGACCAAATTCCTGCGTACGCGTATGCTTTTAGCTTTTAGCTTATACTTATATTTTTTTAACGTACAAACTTTATTATTTATAATAATAAAAAATTACTAGTAATTTATCCAAACCATCAATTGTTGAATAAGAATCAGTGATTGGGCCGAGAAAAAAAATATTTTTATTGTAATTTTAATCATGACAATTCATTATTAGGTTTTTTAAATTTAAATTTAATCTCAAAACTGGTAGAAATACTACCAGTGAAAAACATCTAAGATGGATATGATAATAAATTAATATGCATTTAATTTCATTATTAACTTGCATGAATTAGCAGATAATTTTATGTTTTTATCAATATATTTTCGTATGTTTTCAAAAGAATCATTCAAATTGATGTATTTGGATTATTATAATATTCATATTAAATAAGTCATTTTCTTTTATTATTATAAAATACATTTTATTTATGTCCATTTAACCAAAAACAATTTTCCTCTTTATTTAACAATAATAAAACAAATATGTGAAATAAAAATACAAATTGATATCAAAAAAATGTAATGTTAATTATATAAAAAAATCGTTAATATAAAATAAAAATTATTTAACCGAAAGGTATAACAAACAAAATGAGATTATTTAAAACAAATTATTAACAAATGGAGTAATAAGGCACTATTTGTATTTGATTAATATGCCTAATCTACACTCGAATGTCGAAGAAAATCTTAAAAGCATTAAAGCGCGTTTATTTTTTGCTTCTTATATTTTCAAGAAAAGGCTAGCGTGATAGTTTTCTGCTGAAAAATAGATTTTTATATTTATTTAAAAATTATGTCAATAATTCTATTTTTTTAAAAATTTCTCAGAACTAACTTTATTTTAACAGTTCAAGAAGAATTTGAAAATCAGCTAGATAATGCTATCTTTATTTATAATAATTGACAAATAGTTTCTAAATTTTAAATTAGTCACAATGTTATTATATAATTTATATCAATATTAGTAATAAGTCCAGTTTCTTTTCAAATATACGAACAAAAATCTGTTATAAATAAAATCTTACCTAGTGGGGATCAGTTTATTATATACCGCCTTTTTTTAAGGAATTATCTACAGTTTTATTTGAATGGCAGAAGAAAATAGTATTTTAGATGAAAAAGTTTATTTGTGTTAATATATTATAAATATACATGTATATTATAGCATTCAAGCGATCTCAATCATATCGGGGATAATGGTAATATAAATATAATTTTCAAAATAAGCAAACTTACTTTAAGATTTAAATGATGGTCCAACAATTGATAAAACGGAACTTCCTACAAAATACATTATTAATAATTTAAAGCATACATATACCGAGGCTGATACAAAAAAGTTAAATCTAGAGGAAGTACCTGAAATTAATCATAATTCACCAAAGAGATTATCTCCAATTAAAGAAACAGAATTACTTAAACATGTTGAAGAAATTCATAAACTGGATAAGATAGAACAGATAGATGGAGTTTATACAAATGAAAAAAAGGGAGAGAGTACATTAAAAAAAATTGTAGATATAATATTTTAAAAAAAGGTAAAAAATTATCTAAAATACATGCTAATGATGAAACATCTAAAATGTCCACACCAAAATCAGAAAAAGAGAAAAGTATTTTATTTTTAAAAATTATTATTTTCATTAGTTATTATTTTAGCTATTTTTAAAATTCTAAAATAAAACAATAAATATTCTAAGTAATCAGATTTGTTTTTTAATGCATTTATTTCTAATGATTTATATTAGCTCCTAGGTAATATACACATAATCACAAGTATATTCAGAATTCTCTTAAACTGGACTTGTTAATTAGATGTTAATCACTTGAGATTTTTTCAAATTCTTTTTCAAATTCTTTTTGAATTTTTTAAAATTTTTTAAAATTTATTCTTTCAATGGTGATATTTTTGAAGATATCATAATTGGTTTAAATAAAAATTTTAAAATAAAAATATAATATTATTTTTTAAATTGTGTTGATTAAAAATTATGATGATAATTATTTTATGGTAAGTTGTATAATAAGATAAATTAAAAGCTTATCTTTCTTTTATTTTTACTAAATTTTATATGTCCTTATTTTTCTGGAGTCCAATAACCCCAAGCTTAGTTCATAGATTTTTCATTGAACCTGAACTCTTTTTCAGAACAAGGATTCACAGCCCTGCACTTAAGAGAGGGCTTTAGGGTGGCATTCCCTAGTCTATAAATTTTACCTTTGAACATTGTTGGATTATATTTATTAGATTTGGATGGTGAGAATTAAGCATCAACCATATTAAACAAAGTTTAACAATTCGTGATGACTATTAGTGTTGTTGATGCACAAGGCTTTATTGCTCAAGTTTTATATAAAAAGAAATATTTAGACAATGTTGTAATATGTCGTATATCGACCATCAATAGTTACAAAAAAGAGGAGTTTCAGTTCCTAGATTTGTCCCGGTTCTCAGGGTTGTGGTTCCAAACTTTGATTAATTGAATATTTTTAAAAGTTTAGATTTATTTCATTTTTATTTAGAACCATTATTTGATCAGCCCATAGAAACCACAGGTAAAAGAGAACGGAAAAATATTGAAAGATTGGCTATGCCTGATAGTAGTCAAAAGCAAACCCTTACCATACCCCAAGGAAGAGGATATAAATTAGGCTCATGCCAAATAAGTATTATCTCTTTCAATCATGTGTATTTTTTTAATTTACATTGTTTTATAAATCATTGGTATATTTTTTTGCATATAATAATTTTTGAAATATATTAATGAAATTTATAAATAATATTCTACCAATATTAATTTTAAAAGTTGAAACAAAACTTCAAAAAACGAAATCAGAGGATTTAAAAATATTGCATAGATTATTGTTTGGAAAACCTGGACAGGTTAACATTTTATTTAAATGTACTACTATTTATTGTAGGGCTGTACCGATTCACATATTTTTCACTCTACAATATTTTCCCATATTGGTTTAAAATCAATCCGATACCGATCCAATATTTATATTGATTTTTCACCACCCCCCTTCTAACCAAATGTAATTAAGAAATCAATATTTTTTATGCAAAAAATTGAATTATGCAATTAATTTCATTTTTTTATTTCTAAATAATTTAAAAAAAAAGGTTTACAGATATTGGTAGTATTAAATGAATTTTTCATTATTCCTCCCTGTGAAATTAGAATTCTGCAGATAACGCATTTTGCAAAATTATCTTTGTCTTTTATAAAATATTTCCATAATTCAGATAACATGTTTAAAAAAATTCTTTTATTAAAGTATAAATAATAATATTGGCATTATTTAAAAAGATTTAAAATAAATAATTGGGTGTTACTTTCAAAAAATTTTAAAATACTATAAATCTATTTTAAAAAATAAATAAAATTTAAGAAGTGTTGTGCATTTGCATTGTTTAAAAAATAATTATTTAGAAAATATTATTAATGTAAAATAAATATACATAAAATAACAAAAAAAGATCAGATCGGGGTTTTTACAGGTATCGGCCCGATCCGATATTTAATATCGACACAGCCCTAATTTATTGCATAATTTTTTTTAAAATTAATTTATTTTATTACATTATAATTTATTTTTAGTTGGCCCTACTAAAAAAACACATTAGAGAATTTAATGGCTTCGATTTTGAAGAAAAGGGACCTGAATATAATAAAAAGATGGAGATCATGAATAAGTTTTAGAAAAACTTTTGATATTTTATTTTTATATTAAATTTTAAATTCATGTGCTAAAATAAACATGATTAAAAAAAAATTAATTACATATAATCTATTTTCTACATTTCTAGATTAACTTTGACTAATCTCAAAGATATCTGTGGAATTTTAAACCTTCTCAAGAAATCTAGCACAAAAGAAGAAATAATGTCAAGAATTATGGAGTTTCTGATGCAGCCTCATATCTCTGAAAATATTCCTGATGAAAAAAAAAAGAAAGGTGAATGCTCTTAAATTATAAAATTTGCTATCATGATAAGTATCTAATAAAACTAATGATAATGCTAATTTTAAATGATTTCTCAGATTAAGATCATAGTTATCAATATTGTAAGAATTTAAAAATATTTGAAACCAAATATTTAAACATTAATATATTAGCCTCCACATCTTCCAGAAAATCTTCGAGTAAGACAAAACCCAGAAAATCATCTGCCAAACAGCAAAAAGGGGGGGATCATTCATCTATTTCACATGATGACGAGGAGATTGACCATGATTTTAATGATAAAAATGATGAGAAAAAAATTGAAGAAGAAAATGAGATATCATTGGAAGGAACTGAAAAAATATCTACACCTAAACACAAGACTCCTAGTAGAATTGCTAAGAAAAAGTTGGTTTATGTGGAGGATTTAAAGAGTCAAGAAAGTGGAGATCAAGATGATGCCTCTGATATAGAAACAACTGGTTAAATTTATTATTTTTAACTAAGGAAATATATTTTATGATATGAGTAAATTTATTTGTTTTTATAGCTTTTTCCCCATTATACATTTTAATTAACGACTTAAAAATATAATTTTTGGCTTAGCAAATAATAAAACTCTTTAATGATTTTTATTTATTTTTGATTCATTTAATCTTTAAGCCTCTAAAAAAAGAAAGAAAACAAATTCCAAAATGACTGCAAGATCTTTGCCAAAAAAATTAGGTGGCGCTACTCCACCCAAGAAAGTAAAGCACAGTAAAAATAAATCAACTATACAATTCCCAAGCAAAAAGAAATCAGCCCATCTTGATGAAGAAAAAACTATTGGGCTTATATACACAGATACTGACGAAGAGGATGAAAGTGTTGATAAAGTACGGAAAGAATCTCCACATGTTCATAAAAAAGTATTTTTAATTCATATATATTTTTTAATTGAACATAATTACCAAATATAGCTAATAATCTAGATTATGTTCTATCATTGTAAACAAACTTAAATTACAATATCATTTTAAACTTAAGACCTGTAATTCTAAATATTAATGATAATTTTATTTACTTTAATGATGCTAATATTTTTGCTCTTGAGATGATTTGTTTACAATATAATTTTATTAGACAAAATAATTGATTTATAAAGTATATTATAAACATTTATTAGTCAAACAAAAAGGATGCCCACAAGGGGAAAAAAGCAGAGTCAGAGCATAGTACTCTATCTCCATCTAAGAAACGTCCCACTGAACATGGTAACCTCTCTTTTTTATAATCTATAATATTATTTAATAATCTTTTAAAAATTACTAGAATGTCTAATTTATAATATTTGATATGTTTATTATACCAAATATAAGATGAAGATGACCAACCATTAGTCAAAAAAGCGCTCATTAACAACAGTTATCCTTCGGTAAAAATTACGAAATAATATTCTTTAATATTTATTAAATTTTTTTTTTAAAATAACATAATATTATAAAAAAAATTTAAACTAGGAGGAAGAAATCAAAAACACTGTTCAGGATATCTTAGAAGGAGCAAACTTGATGGAGATTACTATGAAAACCGTTTGCAAAAAAGTTATTCTTAATCAGTTTTAAAAAAACATTAAGTTTAGAATCGGAACTTGGAACCCTCGGAAGCGTCAAATTTTAGAACCTGAATCACTTTTTTAAAAATTTCATAACCTCAACCAAAATCCTTTTTTGGTCCAAGTTCCAACATCTGACTTGTTAATGTTTTCCAATACAATTCCTCTGTATAGATTATCTATTCAAAATTTAAATTGGGATTAACTTTTTGAATAAATATTTTTTACATGTACTATAGGTTTATGATAGATATTCGGGATACGATTTGACACCCAAAAAAGATTTTATCAAAGACACCGTTAAAGCGGTTAGTGCATATTATTTTATTTAATGAAATATATCAGACCTGCAGGCCTTAAGCCTGGCCTAAGTAATAGCCGGGTATATTTTAAAACGAAAATATTTGAAATCGTCATTATTAGCTATAAAAAAAATAAATAAAATATATTAAAAAAATTCGGGCTGGGCCTAAAGATATAAAACCAGGGCCAAGGCAAAAAATTTTTTTAAAAAAAACCGAGCTGGACTCAGCAATAGTATCTTTGCAGGTTTCTGAAATATATTAATTATATTTGATGGTTAAAATTAAAAGTCTACTGATAAAGATTATTAGAAGCGGTTTGATCCGATATTAAAAAGAATGCCATTATGGGAAAAATGTCTATTATTCATGGGCCAAAAAATATTGATTATACATTTCCATTTATTTGCCTGAAGAATATCAATATTATGAAATGAATTTAAAAAATATTAGACGTTTAAAAAAAATCAGGTGATCTCATATTCATTTCTGACATAATTTGTATTAAATAAATAGAAACATCATTAACTTTTATCAAAGTTAATGTTTAAATTTAATGCATAACATTAAAATAAAGATAAAATATTCTGAGTTTGAAATGTATATCCTAATCTTATAAAAACTCGGGTCTAACTTTAGATTTAAGAAAATTATTATCAAGCTTTAGGCATAAAATATAATTTTTTTCTCTAATATCTATAAGTAATAAAAATATATTATTAAAATAGATATAGTAAAGTAAATCGGGCTATTCCAATTTAATTAGAAAAAAATATTAAATAAGAAAGTCAATAAATTATATAATATTTTTATATTTATAATTATTTTTTGTTCAAAATAAAAATGAAATAGGTTATTTCATAAAGCCTGATATAAAATTATCTCAATTGTAAAGCTTTAGATGGATATATATCGTGATATTACTAGAAAATTTGGGAACTGCTAAAATAAATTCAATTACTTATGTTATATTTTAGTATTACATATTTTAGTTCATAGTTTTTTAAAATATGAGTTTAAACATTGATTAATACTCATTAATATTAGTTTGAGTTTTAAATTAATTAATATTATATGAAAAAACGTGTCCACATTTTCCTAGAGATTTATGTCATTTATTTTGTATAACTGTATAGAATTTAAATATATATTTTTTAAAATGTCAATTACTGTATCATTCTTATAATATGTTTTTATTATTCATTTATTTTAAACAAGTCTATAATTTATAGAAAATAAAATTACTGTTTATATTTATAAATATATACATTTTTTTTGATTCAAAATATGGTTAGAATTAAATAAATTAGGGTTGCCTTTATTATATATATCTCCTAATATACAAAATTTGAATTGATGAAATTTATAAGAAAAGTTAAAAATTTATTAATTTTAAAATGGTTCATATAGATTTTAAAATTTTATAGTGCAAAAAAGTTTTTATTTATAATTTGGTGTGGATCTGCTTTTTTAAATATTTGTCTTAGTCCTGTATTTTAAAATTTCTTAATTCCGAGATACATTGATATCACCTATAGCCAATACCAGAAAGTAGTGTTGTTAAATGGCTCGATTTAAACCGATTTTTAAAAACAGTTAAGTCAATATTTTATCTATAAATATTATATAAGCCTGAAGATTTTACTCATAGGTATGGCAAAAATTTGGACACCTATTAACGAAATCTCGGAGCTTAAGCAATATTTTTCAATGAGTTAAATGATCCTTTATAAGATTTTCCTACACATAAATACTTAATAAATTTAATTATCTAAAAACTATATTGAATTACTAATTACATGTAAATGCTTAGATGGCTCTTGCTCATAATTTTTATTTTCCAAAAAAATATGGAAAGTATTTTATTCAAAATATTATTTGTCATTTTCTCTTAACTTGAATAAGATATTTTGGTGCTGATGTTTAAATTATTAAGGTTCATAGAGAATTGAAACTGGGATATGCAAAACATTTTCGAGCTGAGCAACTGCAAAATATTTTTTTGGGCGGAGCCTGAGATGCAACAAATTTAGGTGAAAATCGTACATTTTTGATAAAATATACATATACCTAGCTATTCATCTCAAGTCTTTAAAAGAATGATAAGCTTAGGATGGAAAATCCTGAGGTTTGTAAATAGGAATTTCAAAATTTCTATCTGCAGTAATACCCTATATTTATTTAAGAGAAACTAAGCAAAAAATTATGCTCATTTAATCCAATCCGATATTAAAAAATGTCCCTAATAAAAAATTATAATAAACATATTAAAGTAGATTTAAATTTTTTTAAAACTTTATTTGATCATAATTCATTTGACCCATTTTTTTTTAAAATGCACAAATTAGAATCGCTTATTGATTCAAAGATCAATGAGATATTGATCTTGAAGGATAATTCATATTCAGCAATAAATTTAAAAATCTTGAAATTTAACTTATAGAATATTACAAAAACTTTTATCTTAATTCCTTTTTTTAGATAAGTTGCAAGGGAAAGAGGATTGTTATCAGTGGCGTAGCTAGGAATTTTCCTTAGAGGCGGGTTTATCTTACAAATCATAACCATATCTTCGATAATATATAATAAATATATTTTTTAAATGCATCAATAATGTTATTATAATTTAGTAGATTATTCTCAATGAATAATGAATTTATAATAATACTATCCAGAATAATTTCAATAGCAATATAATATCCTTCCACAAACATCAAAACCAGAAAAATATAATTCATATAAAATCACTTTTAAGTATTTTGAACGTATAATCTCAAAAAAAATTTGCTCTGGGAGGGGTCCAAACCCGAAAACCATCCCCATAGCTACGCCACTGATTGTTATTATGGGGTAAACTTATCCCAATTTTGTTTCATACTCTAGAATTTTAAATTAAGCACATTGAATTGCAAAATTAATGGCCTCAAATCTAATTTTTTTTATTTCAAACTTTTGTCTTTGGGCCAATTCAAAAATTATCGATTCATATATTTTAAGAAATTAATTCATTATAGTTCGCACAAATTGAACGTTTCAAAATGCAAATAAAAAAAGTAAACGTGAATGAAACCGTTAATTATTATTTGTAATATGAAACGTCTAAATTTAAAAAAAAATGCTGTCTAATTTAAATGAATGCATTATTTACGTTTTTAAACGCTGCGTTCAAACGTTCAATTTGTGGGCACATTTATACAATCTTAGTTATATCCTTAAGTTGCTACGCCATTTAATATAAAATATTAAATGTAAGTTTATGTCAGTTTAGCATTGTTTAAGAAATAATGCAAACTGGTTTAAAAATTACAAAAAAATGACCGTATAGTGAAATAAATATTAACGACTTTTATTAAAATTAAAACTTCTCCTTTGATCTGAGCCAAATTACAATAAATATATCATGATTTTTCAAGGGTTTAAAAAATGTATAAATAAAATCATCTTATGTTAGCCTAAGCTGATGTTGCAAATGATTTTATATATAAAATGTTTGAAATTTAATTCTCATCATACCTAACAATAAATTTATTAATATGAAGTTTAAATTATGAAAAAATATATATTATTATTTACATAGGTCAATATAGTAATGAATAGATATATTATATACATGTGGTAAATTTTTTACAGCTAATCATAATTTATATTTTTAATCATTTAAAATAAGACATATAAAAAAGGGGTAAACGATTTCATATAACGAGAATAAAACATTTGATTGTCTTTTAAGTCATAAATTATTAATCATCTCACACAATAACCATTTTTGATATTACTGTCATGTTGCTGAAGTTTACCTTTATATTCGGGGTAAAAGGAATTGAATATGGGTTTATCTAGATGATTAAATTTAGGTGGTGGCTTATCTAGCAAATTATCGTTAAAATTATCACAGAAAATAAAGGTGGGAGAGACCGGGGGTGGAGGTAATTTAATGACTCGTTCCAACAATGGTTCATCTAATAAATATTGTAAGTCTTGCGAGCCATGTATATTCGGAATAATGGAGGATATATCGAGTGACGGAAAATTGTTTAGCAATTGAATTTGTTTGTCAAATACTGCCTTTCTTGATTCTACATATGCCGAGGAAAGTTTTTCTCGCCGAATAAGCATGTAAGACAGGTTGCGAACCTAAAGAGCATAATTATAATATGAATTATTTATTATGTATGATCTATCTTTTTCTTTTTTAATAATAATTTTGTTTTAAAATTCTAATGTATCGTCATACTGCATTGCAAAAAACCTTTGTATATGTATTTAAAAAAACATATTTTTATAGTTTTTATTAAGAAGCGTGTTTTTGTTATGTGACAGAGAGGTTAATAGGCATTTTGATTCAATGAAATTTTTTTTTCATTATCTTCTATATTAAAACTGCCCAGGTAATACCCCACCAAAGTATGCATATAAGATAAGCAGGTGTTTATATAGTAAATATAATAATATAAAACTTAAAATTTGGTCATCCTTAAATACTGGTGGGTTTAAAGAGAAATCAAAATTGGGAAGCAAATGAATCTGTCATCTGAATTATCAATTTCAATTGATATAATAAATTAATTAGACCATTTTTATTTCTTAATAATTGCACACAATGTTGTCATATTATTACCACTAATCAACTTGTTTTTTATGGCAAATTAACTATTACTTTAAAGATAGATAATTTTTTAAAAATCTTTATCATAATTATTTTAAATTTTCGGTAATAGATGACCCCTAAAAAGTTTGAAGTAAGAGAATCCCGTTTTAGCATTCTCGAAAATGAACAAATACAATTTTATCTTTCTTAGAAATAGCTTGCTACTTTTTTGAAAAATAGATTGGCAGAAGCGCACTACTTTTTTCTGAGTAGTAATCAAGTCTACATAAGCGGGGATGGGAGAAACAGATTGCATCCAATTTTTCTTGAAGGGGGTAGGGAGTAGGATAATTTTTTTGGGGGATCATCTATTAGATTTTTAAATAAAATAGAGGGGAAAATATATTGCTGTAAAAATTAATATTTTTATTATAGACCTATTATAATACAATGATGTAAAACTTTCTACTATCCTTTTATTCAATTTAAAAGGGATTAGAGATTCTCAGCAAACTATAAGTAACTTTTCTATTCTCAATATTTTGGAGCTTAAATAATTTTAGTTATTTTTTTTAAAATTTATGAAGGGAGTACGAGTACCATTATAATAATTAAAACGGGAATTTTAAGGGGGGGGGGGTGTGATGGCATAGGTTTTTGATAAGAGTTGGTACCCAATGAAAATCCTGTCATGTCTGGTAGTGATATAGCGCAACTATTCAATCAAATATTTTTGAAATACTATTTTAATTTCAAAAAAAAATATGCTTATACTTTCTGTACCTCTCCATATTTATTTTATCCAAGGTTCATGAACCGGTTATTTCAATTCAATTCCAAATAAAATATTTATAAACATTAAAATGTCTCTTGAAAACTTATGCATTTATAAATTTATATATTAAACTTGTTTTGTGTTTAAAAATATAAAAGTAATTGTTAAATCTATGAGAATTAAATTTTAATAATTTCCTGATTAAAAATATGACAGATAAATTTTCTAAAATTCTTTATGATTCCTGGTGTTACGAAAAATGCACTACACTCCTCACGCGGAAATGATTGAAGTGGTAATGCAACGAAATAGACATGGTTTGGGCATGTAGAACATATGACAAAAGATGACTGTAGTGCCGCGAGTCGCGACCCCGACCCAAAGTTCGGGTCGTTTTTTTCGACCTCGACCCGAGTTCAAGCCGAAGAAAACGACCTCGACCCAAAATATGGGTCGTTTTTTCGACTCAGACTTAAAGTTTATTTTTTAAGGCAAATATGTAAAAATATATTTTGTAAACATGTTAAATTTAAATTTCAGTGAAGACCATAGGAAAGTGACAATTGTCATAATCGTCATTTTTGAACTTTTTTTAGACAAATGGATAAAAATATATTTTGTAAACATGTTAAATTTAAATTTCAGTGAAGACCATAGGAAAGTGACAATTGTCATAATCGTCATTTTTGAACTTTTTTCAATTTTTTCAAGGCAAATGGGTAAAAATATATTTTGTAAACATGTTAAATTTCAGTGAAGATGTACCATAGGAAAGTGACAATTGTCATAATCGTCATTATTAAACTTTTTTTAGACAAATGGGTAAAAATATATTTTGTAAACATGTTAAATTTAAATTTCAGTGAAGATGTACCATAGGAAAGTGACAATTGTCATAATTGTCATTTTTGAACTTTTTTAAGGCAAATGGGTAAAAGTATGTTTTGTAGTATGTTTTGTAAACATGTTAAATTAAAATTTCATTGAAGATGTACCTTGAAAGTGACAATTGTCATAATCGTCATTTTCTAATTTTTTTAGACAAATGGGTAAAAATATATTTTGTAAACATGTTAAATTTAAATTTCAGTGAAGATGTACCATAGGAAAGTGACAATTGTCATAATCGTCATTTTTGAACTTTTTTTAAGGCAAATGGGTAAAAATATATTTTGTAAACATGTTAAATTAAAATTTCATTGAGGATGTACAATAGGAAAGTGACAATTGTCATAATCGTCATTTTTGAACTTTTTTTTAGGCAAATGGGTAAAATATATTTTGCAAACATGTTAAATTAACATTTCAGTGAAGATATACCATAGGAAAGTGACAAGTGTCATAATCGTCATTTTTGAACTTTTTTCAATTAAATTGAAGCAGATAGATAAAAATATAGACTGTAAACATGTTAAATCATTTTTTCAGTGATGAAAAACCTTGAAAAAATTAAAATAGCCATGTTGATAATTTATTTGGAATATTTTGAAGAAAATGGTTAAAATATAAATCATAAACTAGTTAATTAAAATTTCAATAAAAGCCATAGAAAAGTGATAAAAGTCATAATTATTTTTAAACTCTATTTAATCAAATAGTAAAAATCTTATATGTAAAACAATCCTCAATGAAATTTTAATTTAATATGTTTACAAAATATATTTTTACCCATTTGCCTTAAAAAATTGGAAAAAGTTCAAAAATGACGATTATGACAATTGTCACTTTCAAGGTACATCTTCAATGAAATTTTAATTTAACATGTTTACAAAATATATTTTTACCCATTTGCCTTAAAAATTCAAAAATGACGATTATGACAATTGTCACTTTCCTATGGTACATCTTCACTGAAATTTAACATGTTTACAAAATATGTTTTTACCCATTTGTCTAAAAAAAATTCAAAAAAGTTTAAAAATGACGATTATGACAATTGTCACTTTCCTAAGGTACATCTTCAATGAAATTTTAATTTAACATATTTACAAAATATATTTTTACCCATTTGTCTAAAAAAAATTCATTAAAAGAATTCAAAAAAATTGTCACTTTCCTATGGTACATCTTCACTGAAATTTAAATTTAACATGTTTACAAAATATATTTTTACCCATTTGTCTAAATAAATTCAAAAAAGTTCAAAAATGACGATTATGACAATTGTCACTCTCCTAAGGTACATCTTAAATGGAATTTTAATTTAACATATTTTTACCCATTTGCTTAAAAATTCAAAAATGACGATTATGACAATTGTCACTTTCCTATGGTACATCTTCACTGAAATTTAACATGTTTACAAAATATATTTTTACCCATTTGTCTAAAAAAAATTCAAAAAAGTTTAAAAATGACGATTATGACAATTGTCACTCTCCTAAGGTACATATTCAATGGAATTTTTACCCATTTGCCTTAAAAGAATTCAAAAAAGTTCAAAAATGACGATTATGACAATTGTCACTTTCCTATGGTACATCTTCACTAAAATTTAAATTTAACATGTTTACAAAATATATTTTTACCCATTTGTCTAAAAAAATTCAAAAAAGTTCAAAAATGACGATTATGACAATTGTCACTCTCCTAAGGTACATCTTCAATGGAATTTTAATTTAACATATTTACAAAATATATTTTTACCCATTTGCCTTAAAAATTCAAAAATGACGATTATGACAATTGTCACTTTCCTATGGTACATCTTCACTGAAATTTAACATGTTTACAAAATATGTTTTTACCCATTTGTCTAAAAAAAATTCAAAAAAGTTTAAAAATGACGATTATGACAATTGTCACTTTCCTAAGGTACATCTTCAATGAAATTTTAATTTAACATGTTTACAAAATATATTTTTACCCATTTAAAAAAATTGGAAAAAGTTCAAAAATGACGATTATGACAATTGTCACTTTCCTATGGTACATCTTCAATGAAATTTTATTTTAACATGTTTGCTACCCATTTGTATTTGTCTAAAAAAAATTTAAAAATGTTCAAAAATGATGAATTAGATAATTGTCACTTTCATATTGTACGTCTTCACTGAAATTTTAATTTAACATGTTTGCAAAATATATTTTTACACATTGGCCTTAAAAAAATAAACTTCAAGTCTAAGTCGAAAAAAAACAACCAAGCTTCAAGTCTGAGTCAAAAGAAACAACCAAACTTCAAGTCTGAGTCGAAAAAAACGACCCATATTTTGGGTCGAGGTCGAAAAAAAGACCCAAAATTTGGGTCAGCTCTGTTTGAGCCGACTCGGCTAAGCCGATAAACAACACTAGATGACTGGGTAAAGAGATGTACCTTGATGGAAGTAGGAGGATTAAGACCTAGAGGAAGGCCCAAGATAACGTGGACAAATGTGATAGCGGCAGATATGAGAAGCATGAATCTTATAAATATTGATGTTCAGGACCGTCAGAAATGTAAAAGAAAAATCAGAGAGAAAACTGGTCTACCTTGGTAAACCTGGAAATCGCCATAAAAAGGAGAAGAAGAATAAAAAAATTAAATATAATTTTAATTCTATTTTCTCCATTACAAAACAAGTGCAGTATATAAATTTATAAAAGTATAAGTTTTCAAGTAACATTTTAATGTATATAAATATTTTAATTAATTCTATTTTACTCGTAATGGAGTTGGAATACCCGGTTTATGAATTGTGGATAAAAGATATATGGAGGTACAGAAAGTATAGGTCTTTATGATATTGAAATAATAAGGGTTTTCAAAATAATATTTCAAATATATTAAATTTCGTATTCATAGTTAATATATTTGATTGAAAAGTGAGCTATATCACTGCTCTTAAAAAATATAGCGCACAACTCCTTGCTAAGAAAAGGGTATAAAAGGGAAAGAGTGCTGAAGAATATCTAAGATAGTATATTGATAATGAAATGAAATATATTTAATTTATGTTATCAGATAATATATGTATAACCAAGATTTTAAAAATTCGGTTTCAGGCCAGCTAAACTTTTTTAAAAAATTTCGGGCAGGGCTTGAGAAATTAGGCCCGATACAGATCACTAAAGTGCATCATTGTAAATGTATGTAACAATTGAAAGTTAGGAATCTGACTGATTTGCCAAAAATCAGAGTCCAGAGAATATTTATTATTGAAGGAATGAATATTGTGAATAATCATTTTTACACATAATTTTTATGGTTATTCACAAAATTAAGGATAAATATCAATATACTCGCAGTATTCATTCATTTTTTATTCAATGATGAATAATTTCAGAACTCTGTTACACATAGTATTTATTTGGGGAGATAAAAGAAAAATGTGAAGGTGTCTTAAAACACTCAAATTAATATGTTACATATTGAGATTTATATAAACATATTGTAGTACCCTTTCAAGATCTTGCCTAAGTTGAACGCACATCCTGAGCCTGTGATAAAGATTGCTTTCCACCTGTTGTTGTGTCAGGGAGGAAAAATTTATAGGATTAAAGCAATCTTCTGAAAAGAGGGAATTGGCGACCGACGCAGAGGAATAACAATTGTCCATATCAAAAAGGGTAGGATTCGGGATCGAATGAGGAGTGTTGGAAAAATCATCAAAATAATTTTGATTTAAAGCATTGTCGTTGCGGGAATTAACTTTGCTAAGTGGAACGAGATCGGAAACTAGTGGAGAATTAAAACGTAGCCTTCTTTTCTGTTTCCAATAATTATAGGTCAAAGAAAAAACTCGCCTAATCCACGTGGGGTGGGGGTTTGAAGGTATCTAGGTTACGTAATAATAATTATAATTCAAAAGTAGTTTTATTAAAATGTTTTCAAATTTATAAGTTGCAGTTTGTACAATTAAACGATAAATAGATTATATTGATACATGATGATTTTTTGCTAAAATAAGATCACACTCTCTCTCAAGTTTATATTATAAAATTAAATGCATCAATGATTGATACAATTTATTTTATGAAATAAATTAGTCTCATTTCCATAAAAATACTTTAGATTATTAATTTAAGCCATGCAAATGCCTTTCAATATAAATGAAACTCGTAGTCGTAATTTATTTTATTGAAAGTTTATTCTTCAAAATAAAGTCATTTCAGTAACAAGTAAAAAAGAAATAAAAAAATATTTATTAACTGCTTAATTTTTCTTATCATTTAAAAATTTGTAGATCAATTTTATTCTTATAAATTCATGACTTAGAGCCAATTTTAGAAAAAATATTTATTAACTATTTAAAAATTTGTAAAACAATTTTATTCTTATAAATTCATGGCTTAGTGTAAGCCAATTTTAGAAAAATATTTATTAAATGCTTTATTTTTCATATCATTTAATAATTTGTAGATCAATTTTATTCTTATAAATTCATGGCTTAGTGTGGGTCAATTTTTTTTAATTTGTGAAGGTGAATTTTTATTTTGTATCAAACACTGGTATCGACAAATACCGATACACCTGTGAATCAGAGACATATATTGCTTTTTAACTCATACTATCATTCTAAGTGATTTTACTTAGTAAATTTATAAAAAACACTCATCTCTGAACTCCCTCACTCACCTTTGTTTTTAGACAAAATTTACCAACCAGGTAGATTTATGTTTAAATTCTTAATTCTTATTCATATCATACTAAAATATATTCGCATTTGTCACTTTAATAAGCTCAGTTTTTTGTGTGTGAGAGGAGGGGGCATACTAGTTTAAAATATATTCGCATTTGTCACTTTAAAGCTCAGTTTTTTGTGTGTGAGAGGAGGGGAGGGGTTATTATTTATTAATTACATTAGAAATTTCTGTGACACTTGTGGAAGACGTAGAACGTTGAGTAGATTTGTGAGATGTGTTACGATAGAAACAATCTTTATCGTGAAAGGGTAGAGATGGCAAGGGTAAAAGAATTTTATTGACTTCCTGTTCGGGATGCACGAATTCGTAAAATTCAGATTCCATTTGTTTAAGCCTTTAGTTAATTTTTAATATAAATATTATTTATAGATGTTAAATAAATTTTTTTTTACTGCACCTTGAAAAGATCAATCATACTTTTTATTTAGAGGGCTGGGCCATTCCATGACAAATCAACCTCAATTCGGCCGACCCCCTTCGATTTTTTAAAAATTTGATAAGTAAAGAAAGGTCAATGTAACTAAGAAATAGCCAAAATTTTAGTCTCCTAACATTTATATTTTTGATGATATATTAGGGTTCAAAATGGCAAAATGACGTATTTTTACCATTATCTGCCTTCATTCAATTAAGCATATCTTAAAACCTACATAATTGTAAATAACAAATTTAATATCAAAATTATATATAAAGATTCCTAATTTCCGGCCATTTTATTTAATATTTAAGGACTAAAAACTTTTTGGAAATAATACGACCTTCAATTTTTTTAAAAAATTTAGTAGACATTACTAAACTCTTTCTTTATATTTATAAAAAAAATTGGTCTGGGACGAGGCCATCTTTATTCTTAAAATCGATTATATTAATCATTTTTAATGGTTTTTCTTGAACTATTTGATAACAAGAAATGGGGCTTTCATTCAATTATAAAAATTGTCTATCGATAAAAGAAATTCAATTTATTACTTTATTTATAATTTATTATAATTTTTTTTGCCTATATACATATATTTAATGAATATTAATAAAATATATTCAACCAAGTTTATAGTTCTTAAATATATGAATAAGAATCTTGTGCATTTCATATATGGCGCCCTAAATATTAAAAATAATTGATATAATTTAAATTTAAAAATCTAAAATATAATTCACTTTTAAAAGATTCTAATTTTTCGGTAGCGCGTTTACTTTCTTGTGACGATATTGTATAACTACGGCCAGTAACAATGTTAAGATATGACATTTTGGCAAGTAAAAAGTGCCGTCTATACTTGGAAATGTAAAGGAATTAGAAGGTCCGGATGGGTGTAAAAACTTTATATATATTTCTTACTGCTTTTGATTTTTCATTAAAACAAAGGCTAAGACCAATTAGAATCAAACACACGTTATCTATCCTGATATTTCTCCACAAATTATACTTCATTATATGAATATTCTATAGTGCTTTCTATTGAATTGGAATACATTTTACTTTTAAATTGATGTAGACTTGTTGGAATCAAGGTGTGAATTTTGTATTCTAGGTATAGGTCTACTTTTTAAAAATCTTTTCCTGAGTAATAGATCATAATTTATTTTAGTCATATATTCAAAATATATGCTATTAATATTTACTTTAGAGCACTCATACAATTCATATGATGTGGTTATTTGCTTTGAGTAAGGCCTTTGTAAACTAGCTCTAGCAGCTAATCTTCAGTGCCACCAATCCCATCACACTTTTCGTGTGCTGTAAAAGAAAAATGCCATTTCGCCTGTACTCCGAAATCCATCTCATGATGGCAAATATTAATAAAATTTTACGATTTTTATACTGTAGCAGCGGATCCATCGGAAAAATAAAAATTTTATTTGGCATACAAATTTTATTAATTAAAAAATTTACCAATGTTTTTTGGAAATAATATACTGCTATTGTATTGTGTTGCAAAGATTCGGATATCATTACATAATATCGGCAACAAATATATTGGCAAAATTATCTTTATAATATATAACAAAAGGGTGATCAATGGATTGAGCCCTATTCCAATGATAACTTTGTACTTCATCCTGAAGTATAAAGCTATAGTTTTCTTAAAAATCACATATTAAATATTGGCCTTCATCTAAGTTCAATTTTATGTTGCGTTGAAATAAAAGAATGGGGTAATAAAGATTCCATTTTTTCAAAAAAGGTATTGATAAATTCATCTACTGGCTTAATTATTGTTTAAAAGTGGTTCTATCTACGGATAGCCATTGTTTGTATGTTATAAATTCGTTGTCCTTAGAACGAAACAATATTTATATTAGATCGCGTAAATGTGTTGACACTGGACAATTATCACATTTACCCATATAACAGGATGGATGTGGCGGACTACAAATTAAGTATAAAATATGTTTGAATGTTTTAAAGGGCAACATATTGATTAAATTGGGTAAATTTGATCCAATGATCATTAATTTATTTGGTGGTAGCTGCAAAGACATACAATATGTGCACCACTACCTCTACGAGCATACAATTTTTGGGCGAATGCTTGCAAATTTCGAAAAACCAATTTTAACATCAGGCCTCATTTCTTTAAAAAATATATAAATTTCTTTTAAATTATCTAAAATTAATCTCTTTTGTATGGTATTCTTTTTTCCGTCTTTGCTCAAAATCGAAGCGCAATCTTTCTTGCCTGGCATGATTCTGATTATTTCGCCCGTATAATAAAATTTTTGTACAATTTTAACTGTATATTCGTCTATAGTTTTTCCAGGTTTGGGGTTAGGTGTTGATAGAAATCAAAATGAAAATACCAAGAAATTAATTAAAAAATGAATTAATATAGTGAATGTATTATTGAATGATTAATCAATTTTAAAATTTTTATTTATTATATTGATTGAAACACTTATTTATTGTTATTCTAATTTACAAGTAAGGCTATACCGATTTTAGAAAATCTTTGGGTTATTTTATGAAGATAATACTTTTATTTTGTATATAATTTCATAATAATAATAAATTAATATTTGTAATATTTAAAACAATTGAGTAGAAAATTTTTATATTTTTGGCGTCATTATAAGAAATGCACAAGATTTCATATATTCAAGAACTCGAAACTTAATTGAATATATTTTATTAATATTCATTAGATATATGTAGACATGTGCGCCGCCGGTCAAATGCGCCGCCGCCGATGATTTTGACCACGCCGACGCCGCGCGCCAAAAAATTGTCGGCGCTCAACACGCCGCCGATGTAAAAATTCGGCGGCGTGATACATATTTTTTATTATTTATTTTATATATTATTTATGAATATAAGAAAAATATTAAATATTTTTTGAATTATTAAAAAATGCGATTTTATTTTTTAAAATTAATAAATATTATTTGCTATAAATTTGATTTGTAACAATCCTTATTCGCTCACTTTGGGCAGGTTTGTGACCAACGTGCTAGATAAAATAAGATTAGGACATTAAATTTGAAAAGGTAAATCTATATTTTATTCTTTTATTTTGATTCAAATAATTTACAACTCGTTATATAAAATTTATTTTTTATCATAATAGAAATTTTATTTAATGATTTTTATTTTGTTGCCATTATAACATATATAAAAATACCAGGACTAAAACAATTATAATGGATGCAGCATTGCAATACCCTGTAACAAAATATAGTATATCCTTGCAAGCAAAACCTTTTGCATGGAAACATTTTGGATCCTTAATATTAAAAACTTACACAAATAATAAGAGCACCAGTGTTGCTACAGATAAAGTCTTTTGTAATATATGCTTGCAAATAGCACTTGATAAAGATGGCGAGGATGAAAATAATTCTTCATTTTCAGAGTAAATTTTTTGATTATTTTATAAATATTAGTAAATTTTTTAATTAATTATCCAATCAAATCTTTTTCAAAAAATATCAGCACATCAAATATAATAAAACATTTACTTGACAAACATGATTTATCATGTAAAGAAGAAATATCTAAACAAAATTTAAAGTTATTTTTCAAACCCATTGTAAAAGGTACAACTGACCCTATAAAAGATAAAAAATGGATTCTGGTAAGGAATTATGTTCTCATGTGTTGCAAGGATTTAATGCCATTCTCTTCTATAATAATACTGGAATGCAAGATTTTCTAAAGGTTATTTGTAAAATCATTATAATTTTTTATAGGGCAATCTTAATTTTTATTTGTTAAGATATTTAATTATTTTATAACATCCTACATTTAGAATTTTTTATGGCATAATATTTTATTATTAACTTTTTATTATGTAGAAATATGGCATTATTTCAGATGCCAAAGAATTACCTGACAGAACTACACTTAGCCGGAGTGGATTAGATGATGTTTATTTATCAATGAAAGCATACATATGCCAACAAATTAATGTAGGTCCTAAATTTTGTGCTATAACTTTTGATATGTGGACAGACAAATATAGACGGCGAAATTATATCACCTTTATTTTTCACGAAATAGATAATAATTTTAATATTGTATTTTATACATTGGCGACACATCATGTCACCCAAAAACATACCGCTGAAACTATTCTTTCCGAAATAGAAAAAGTTGAAATGAATTTGATTTAGGGTCCAAGAAAATTCAAATGGTTACGGATGCAGGACCCAATGTAAAGAAAAGTGTTCGTCTAGGAGAATATGACCATCATTTATGTTTGGGGCATGGATTACATAATCTAGTGACAGTCGATGGAATAAAAAAGTTAATAAAATTGAAAATCTCATTAAAAAAGTTAGAGAAGTTATAGTTGCCTTAAGATTCAAAACAACGGATTTTGAAAATATAAACGATATAGAAAATAGAAAATGTTTTGAATCGATATCATATACATCGGATATTTTAGATTTGGATGATAATGATCCTTTTTATGAAGATCGTTTGGGGTATGATGATGATAGTGAAAATCAAAAATCATATGAGAAAAAACATAAACCTTAAAATTAAATGTGCCTACACGTTGGCATAGTATTTTAATAATGCTGGAAAGTGTGACTGGCAATAACAAAAATCCTATAAATATTCTATTAAATAGAATGGAGAAACCGGATCTCAAATTATTTAACTCCGATTGGGACTTGGTGTATGAACTTTTAAATTTTCTTAAAATTAGCCTTATTATTTCGTAGTGAAATTAAAAATCATTTAATTGTAAAAGAAAATGATAGTCCACCCATAGCATCCCTTAAACAAACTATGCTTACTAAATTTGATCATAGATTTCCAATAACCGATCTTCAGGTAGTATTTTAAAATACATAAATTATTTTTTATACATTATTCTTTCTTTTATTTTTTTTACTTAGGTGTTAGGAGCACTTTTGGATCCTCGTTTTCAATCAATAAACATAGTAAATAAATATTTAAAGGAAAAAAATATTACTCCGGTTGAATTTTTATGTCAACACGATACCTCTCTACGGTCTTACACGGACGAATTAAACGAATGTAAAACGACGGAAGTTGCTTCAAAACTCGATTATCTTAAGTCATTGGCTACGAAGCATTCATCTATTCAAAACAATAACCTGGAACAACAACACTATTTAACTAGTTTAGAAAAAGAGTGTTACTCATTATTTTCGCCTTATAATTTGGAGATAAAAGATGTCTTAGATTTTTGGAAGATAAGAACATTGGATCTTCCTAAACTTTCAATATTAGCTAGAAAGGTCCTGTGCGTTCCAGCTACAAGCACACCCAGCGAGCGTGTATTTTCTATAGCTGGACTCACTCTGAACTCTAAAAGATCATTATTATGTCCTTTAAATTTTAATAAAATAAAATTTATTCATGATAATTATAACTTAATAAAATCATTAAATTATAGTTATAAACATAATAAAGTATAAATTTTATTTTAAAAGTGTTTCCAATGAATTTATAAATTTACTTAAAAAAATTTAAGTTAGAAACGCCGCCGATTTTTGTGGCGTCGTCTAAATCGATTCGCCGCCGCCAGCTGATCATTTTAAAAAAAGAAACGCCGCCGCCGAAAATGCTGTCGGCGCACATGTCTAGATATATGTTATATGGGCAAATATATAATAAATTATAAATAATGTAATAAATTGAATTTCTTTTATCGATAGATAATTTCTATAATTGAATGAAAGCCCCATTTATTGTTATTTTCACTTACAAGATGAATAATCCTTTATATTATATCAAATAGTTCAAAAAAATCTATAAAAACCGATTAATATATATTTTATACAAAGACGCCCCCTTTCGGGAAAATATTTATACACTTTTCTAAACATTTTTATCGATTTGGAGAATGAAGATGGACGAATCATTCCAGACCAATTTTTTTTATAATTATAAAGGAAGAGTTTAGTAATGACAACTAAATTTTTAAAAAAAATTGAAGGTCGTATTATTTCCAAATCGTTTTTGGTCCTTATATATTAAATAAAATGGCAGGAAATTGGGGAAAAAAATAAAATTTTTTTTTTATTTAAAAGTAGAATCTTTGTACGTAAATTTTGATATTAAACTTGTTATTTACAATTATGTAGTTTTTAAGATATGCTTAATTGAATGAAGGCAGATAATGGTAAAAATACGTCATTTTTGCCATTTTGAACCCTAATATATCATCAAAAATATAAATGTTTAAAATTTTGGCTATTTCTTAACTACACTAACCCTTCTTTGCTTACCAAATTTTAAAAAAATCAAAGGGGGTCGGCCGAAAAAAGAACCACAATATTTGAAATAATTTTATAATACATATTATTTTTAAAAATATCTATTATTTTATATAATTCTTCATGTAAAAAAATAGCTATTGTGGCGGAATGTTATTGCCAGTAAATCCCATAGTAAAAAGATATGAGCCCCATAAACTTACCCTACTTAATATATGTGTTTTATAGAAATCAAAGAGATGGAGATAAAAAATTTATATCTTAAAACGAATTTGAAAAAATACAAAATTCATCATTACTATTTAAGCAAAACCCTAAGCAAAATCAGGCATTTGCCTATATCTAATATACCAACCTCACTAGCCTACATCAGGTATTGGCTTATATGTCAATTCCTTTTATTTTAAACAATTTCGAAAATTATTTTAGTATAGAATTCTCCGACAATGTTGTTCCATAATAATCTAAAAATAACAAAATTTATATTGGCTGGCTATCTATATAAAAATATTTTGATCATTAAAAGTAGTTTAAATATCACTAAAATTCTGGAACAGTTAAAAATAACAATAAAATTTGTTATTGATTGCTTTGTGGTTTGTTTAATTAAAAAACTTTCTGTATCTATCATAAATAAAAACCAGCCTGTAAATAAATTTTGCCTCTCCTAAGCTGAGTCCTAATTTTCGGGCCTTTAATATTATAAGTATTTCTCATTTAACTAGAAAAACAATAAATGCCATATCTACGAACAGGACCATAGCTAGAGTGTAATTTGAAACCAGCCCTCTCCAGATAATTTATTGACCCATAAAAGGATTCTTACTTTTGACCTTTTAATGAGATATGGTGTTTAAATTTAAAAATAAAGTTGGTTCTCATTTGCAAAATGCAAAAGTTTGTGTCGTATCCCTAATTTATAACAAAATAGGCAAAAATCCTAACTTTTGAAAGCGAGATTCTTCGATATTACTGTTAGATAATTGCATGTGATTGGCGGAATTGATAAATACAGATGTAGGGGAGGGATCAAAGTTTTTTTGAGGAGTTCCATGTAAACCCTTTTTGCGGCTATGTTTAGGACAATAGGCCTTAATTAATTTTTTAAAATGATATTTTATAAGTCTAATGTTGAATATAATAAATATAAAATGATTTATAAATTTGACTTAACCACACTGAATATAATATGGTACCTTTTCGATGCCTTAACAATTTTAAATCCTACATCTTTAATATAATAATGTACATGAAATATAAGTGGATAGTAAAGCATATCTTATAGCAATGAAAAAATACGCCTTATTTTTAGTATATTAGTTACAAGGTAATCGTAAAATTTAGAAGTGGGTGCCATAAAAAAGTAATGAGTAACGTTTTACCTTTTCCAACTTTCTCCAAGGTTGGGCTATCGCTTTATAGCAGGGTTTAACATTTGCTCAAAATTCAAAAATCTTCACAGATCGTTGCTCTTTTGAAGATCAAAAAATGCGAAGATTTTTTCGCTAAAAAAAATTTTGAGCTTGCTCAAAGAAGATTTTTGAGCAAAATAAAAAATATTTTTTGTAAAAAAATCTTCTATAATTTTGAGAAAATATTTTGAGAATTTTATAATAAAATAAAATCTTTTGTAAGGAAATCTTTATTAAAATATTTTTGATATATATTTTTTTTTATTTTATTATGTTAATGAAAATATTTTTTTTGAATAGGTTGTGAATGTGAGAATTGGTCATAATACCGACTGCATTTTTTTTAATATTTGGAATAAGTAATAATAATTTTTAAAAATGTAATGTCATAATTTTAATGTTTTATATTTAATGTAAACTATAAAAGTGACAATTGTCATAATACTCATCTCAGAACCTTTAAAAATAATTATAATTAAAAAAGGCTAGTTGAGCATGTTTTGAGATGGTTTCAGTGATTGTAAAGCATATAAAGGTGACAATTGTCATAATACTTATTTCACATATGTTTTAATTGGAAATAGAGAAAAATGATTATTTCAACATGAATTAATATAATGTGTAAACTATAAAAGTGACAATTGTCATAATATTCATAACAGAACCTATAAAAATAATTTTATTTTTAGGTATTAAATAGGCGAGAAAAAATTTTTTGAGCATGTTTCGAGATGGTTTTAATGATTGTAAAAATTGTCACAATCGTTATTTTTGAACTTTTTTAAAGCAAGTAGATAAAAATTTATTAAATATAAAATTAAATGTGGATGTACCATAGAGCAGTGACAATTGTCATAATCGTTATTTTTGAACTTTTTTGAATTTTTTTGAAGCAACAGAGTAAAATAATAAATTGTAAACATGTTAAATTGAAATTTAAATGTGGATGTACCATAGAAAAGTGACAATTGTCATAATCGTTATTTTTAATCTTTTTTGAATTTTTTTGAAGCAAAAGGGTAAAATTATATATTGTAAACATGTTAAATAAAAATTTCAGTGAAGATGTACCATAGAAATGTGACAATTATCATAATTGTTATCTTTGAACTTTTTTGAATTTTTTTAAAGCAAATAGGTAAAAATATATATTGTAAACCTGTTAAATTAAAATTTCAGTGAATATGTACCATAGAAAAGTGACAATTGTCATAATCGTTATTTTTAATCTTTTTTGATTTTTTTTGAAGAAATTATATATTGTAAACTTATTAAATTAAAATTTCACTGAAGATCTACCATAGAAAAGTGAAAATTGTCTTAATTGTCATTTTTAATCCCTTTTAAATTTTTTTGAACTTACAGGGTAAAATAATAAATTGTAAACTTATAAAATTTCTTCAAAAAAAATCAAAAAAGATTAAAAATAACGATTATGACAATTGTCACTTTTCTATGGTACATATTCACTGAAATTTTAATTTAACAGGTTTACAATATATATTTTTACCTATTTGCTTATAAAAAAATTCAAAAAAGTTCAAAGATAACAATTATGATAATTGTCACATTTCTATGGTACATCTTCACTGAAATTTTTATTTAACATGTTTACAATATATAATTTTACCCTTTTGCTTCAAAAAAATTCAAAAAAGATTAAAAATAACGATTATGACAATTGTCACTTTTCTATGGTACATCCACATTTAAATTTCAATTTAACATGTTTACAATTTATTATTTTACTCTGTTGCTTCAAAAAAATTCAAAAAAGTTCAAAAATAACGATTATGACAATTGTCACTGCTCTATGGTACATCCACATTTAATTTTATATTTAATAAATTTTTATCTACTTGCTTTAAAAAAGTTCAAAAATAACGATTGTGACAATTTTTACAATCATTAAAACCATCTCGAAACATGCTCAAAAAAATTTTTCTCGCCTATTTAATACCTAAAAATAAAATTATTTTTATAGGTTCTGTTATGAATATTATGACAATTGTCACTTTTATAGTTTACACATTATATTAATTCATGTTTGAAATAATCATTTTTCTCTATTTCCAATTAAAACATATGTGAAATAAGTATTATGACAATTGTCACCTTTATATGCTTTACAATCACTGAAACCATCTCAAAACATGCTCAACTAGCCTTTTTTAATTATAATTATTTTTAAAGGTTCTGAGATGAGTATTATGACAATTGCCACTTTTATAGTTTACATTAAATATAAAACATTAAAATTATGACATTACATTTTTAAAATAATCATTATTACTTATTCCAAATATTAAAAAAAATGCGGTATTATGACCAATTCTCACATTTACAACCTATTCAAAAAAAATATTTTCATTAACATAATAAAATAAAAAAAAATATATATCAAAAATTTTATTTTTAAAGAATTTACCAAAAAATTTTAAGATCAAAATTTCAAAAATATTTTAATAAAGATTTCCTTACAAAAGATTTTATTTTATTATAAAATTCTCAAAATATTTTCTCAAAATTATAGAAGATTTTTTTACAAAAAATATTTTTTATTTTGCTCAAAAATCTTCTTTGAGCAAGCTCAAAATTTTTTTTAGCGAAAAAATCTTCGCAAAAAATTGATCTTCAAAGATTTTTTCCTCAAATTTTTGGGCGAAAAAAATCTTCAAATTTTTATTTGAAGATTTTTGTAAAACCCTGCTTTATAGAATAGCCCGACGCTGAGTTGATAGTTTTCGGCCAAAAAATGGGTTTAGTTTTGGAGCTAACCAGGTACATAGTAATCAGTTTAAATAGATTCAAAATTTGGGCTTAAGCCACCAAACATCATATTAAAAGATTTCAATTTCAAAAAAATCCTCTATGCATAGCAAATCTTCTTCTCCGTTTTATGGCGATTTCCAGGTTTACCCGGGTAGGCCAGTTTTCCCTCTGATTTTTCTTTTCCATTTTTGACGGTCCTAAGATTCAAGCTTCTCATATCCGCCGCTATCACATTTGTCCACGTCATCTTGGGTCTTCCTCTAGGTCTTGATCCTCCTACTTCCATCATTGTGCATCTCTTTACCCAGTCATCTCTTGTCATACGTTCCACATGCCCAAACCATCTTAGTCTATTTCGTCGCATTACCATACCAATCATTTCTATACCTAATCTTGCTCGCAATTCCTTGCTAGTTTTTCTCTCTCTCAGAGATACCCCACACATCCATCTAACCATCCTCATCTCTGTTCTTTCTAATTTGGCTTCGTGAATTGCTTTCATTGCCCATGTTTCACCGCCATAAACTAAACAACTCCTCACGCAGCTTACGTAAACTTTCCCCTTTAACTTCAGAGAAACTTTTTATTTGTAAGAATAGACGACATCTCTCTGAACTTCTTCCAATGTCTGATCCTTGCAACAACAGCAGAATCTACACCACCATCTGCGTTTAGCATATCACCTAAATAACAAAACTTATCCACTTTTTCTAGGGTTAACCCATTGCCAATATCCAGACCACCATTTTTTTAGGTTATCATTATTATGTATCTCTTTCATGCATGTTTTACAAATAAAGGTCATTCTTTCTAACATCAAACTGCCTTTTTTCCCACTACATCTTTTATGTACCCATTTCTGGCATCTGGTGCATTGGATAGAATTTCTAGCAACTCCTTTCCCACATACACCACAAGGCCACTTACCTGATTCTTCTATCTTTAGATTTTCCCCAACAATCATCACCTTTGTTTTTGATGCATTCATTTTCAGGCCCTTTGCTTCCATAGTCATCTTCCATTTACTAACTTTATCTCTCAATTCTCCCTCACTGTTTGCCATTAATACAAGGTCATCTGCATATAATATCTCCCAGGGAAGTCCTTCACGCATTTCTCTAGCCACCACATCCATTACTAAGATAAATAATAATGGACTCAGCACGGATCCTTGATGAAGTCCTACCTTCACCTCAAAGCTGTCACTATCACCATAATCCGTCCGTACTGCTGTTTGTGCTCCAACATACATTGCCATCACTGCGGTAACTAACCATTCCTCCACACCGGATTTTCTCAAGGCCCATCTTGTAATCTCACGCGGCACCCTATCAAATGCTTTCTCCAAATCAACAAACGCATAATAGAGTTTCTTTTCCTTCGCAAGATACTTCTCCTGAATTTGTCTCACCACAAAAATTGCATCTGTCGTGCCTTTTCCCGATGTAAAACCAAACTGCATTTCATCAATTTTGATTTGTTCCCTTATCCGCTTTTCTAACACTCTCTCAAATACTTTCATTGCATGTTCCAAGAGTTTAATAGCTCTGTAAGACCCACAATCTAAAGGATCACCTTTCCCCTTGTATATTGGGATAATTATACTTCTTCGCCAGTCCTCGGGAATAGTACCTTCTGTGACAATCTGATTTGCTAAATTCATTAACCATTCAATCCCTAAATCATCAGAACCTTTAAACATCTCTGATACCACCATCGTTAAACCCGATGCCTTCCCTTTCTTCATCTTTTTCACTGCTCTCCTTATCTCGTCCTTGCCAAATTTACACCCTGGACCTTCTACCTTTGCACAACTAATATTATTATTCCATTCATTTTCTTCATTCAAAAGTCCTTTCATGTAAATCTTCCAGGTGTTCTTAATACCACTACTATCAATAGTCATTTTTCCTTCCATATTTTTCAAACACTTTACACCTATCACATCCTGCCTCTTTTTTGACATCTGTTTTGCCATTCTAACCATATTTCCAATTCCATCAGCGCATTTCATTTCTTTAGCAAACTCGTGTCTTTTTTCTTCTTGAGCCTTCGCTATTAATTTCTTAGCATTTCTTTTAGCCATCTTGTAAATATCATTATCACTATTTTCTTTGCTATTATACCATACTTTGAAACACCTCCGTTTCTCATCCACGGCTTTCGCTACCTCTGGGCTCCACCACCAAGTCTCCTTATGTCTAGGCGGCCCTTTTGTCCATCCACATACCTCCTCAGTTGTCATTACCCAAGCTTTCTTCATGGCTTCCCACTTGTCATTCACCCCAGATGCTTGTGCCACCTCCGCCTCCCTAATCGCCAATGCCATATTGAATTGACGTCTAGCATTCTCCTCCTTCAATTTCCAAACCTTCAGCCTTGGGACAAACTTTCTTTTAGTGACCCTGGCACCTTTAAGAGTGAGATCTCCTACAACTAGTCGATGCTGATTTATACATTCCTCTCCCGGTATCACTTTCACATTTTTTATTATACATCGATCACATCTCCTTAATAACAAGTAATCCACAACACTTTTGGTACTACCCGACTTATAAGTCACCAGCTTCTCTGATTCTTTCTTAAACATTGTATTACAAACAATCATATCCATAGCATCACTAAATTCTAAAATCCTCTCTCCTTCCAAATTTCTCATGCCGTAACTGAACCCTCCATGTACTCCTTCATAACCCTCACTACTCGCTCCCACATGTCCATTCAGATCGCCAGCCAGGATAATCCCCTCTTCATTTGCCAGTCTCGATGTCACCCCCAATAGACTGTCCCAAAATACATCTTTCTCTTCTTCACTTCTTCCAACCTGAGGAACATATGCCGAGATCATATTATATAGCTTTCTACCAATAATCATCTTGATAACCATTACCTGGTTGTCTAGCCTTCTCACTTCGACTACTTTGTCTACCAATTTCTCCGCAACCAATACCCCAACTCCAGCCTTACCATCATTACCTCCTTGCCAAAAGAATTTATACTTTTCGCTAGTCTTGCCAATCATTCTGGTCCCATTTCCTTTCCATCTAGTCTCCTGTATGCAGCACACATCTATATGTCTTCTGTGCAATACATCGACGACTTCTCCCGCTCTTCCCGTCATACTCCCAACATTCCATGTCGCGACCCTAACTCAATCACCCGTAAACTGGTTTTAGCAAATGATAAATTATTTTAGGAAAATACTGGCACCCAAACAAAGGCATTTGTGCGTTTTATTAAAGATGATTTTACACACTGAGAAATAAATTTTTCAGTATAATAAACTGCTATAAAGTATTTATATAAGAATATCTCTAATTATTAATCAAATAAATATTAATTCCAGATATATAAAATATTAGTTAGATTCATTGTTATAAAATTATTTTTTAATAAATGTATCAAAATTAGAGCTAATTGGGCAAATATTAAATATGATAATTATATTTGATAAAGTATTTTTAGTCAATTCAATAGGATAACCTAACAATAGTTTTTTACTCACAAATTTCACAGGGTTAATGTAATAATAAAATAAATGTATTCAATTAATAACTATTTTCTCGAGGTTATGGTTATATAATATTTTTATTAAATTTAAAGACTTGGTTAAATTTATAAAAACTCATGATTTTGTCCCCTAGTTCTTTTAGTAACAAAAGATGAGATGTATATGATTGCATAACAAAAAAAGCAAACTTTTAATTTAACGTCGGGGTGTTGAGTATTGATAGTAGAAGTAGAGGATGTTGACTCAGGATTACAATATTTTTTTGTATGCTCAACGTGATGATGCCAATCTGCCTTCATGTCCAAGCCTCCTTTAAACCCACACGTTACGTGAAACGCTATTCTGCAACTCTTAACCTATGTGAAAGTTAATCATTTATCAATAAGAATGTAAAGTCAACGTTTCGCAAAAAATCAGGATATATGAGAATATATAGTAGGCAAGAAATTGATAAAGGAAACCAGGGATGTGAACCCTCTTGAACATTCGTATTTTGGCCGTACCCGAACCCGGTCCCCCTTTTAAATTGAAGGGTTTAAGGATTCTAGGTGTTAAAAAAAATTCCTCTTTAAATTCATGAAAAATAAATTAAATTTTTTTTTTTCGAGAAATCATATCTCTTCCCATTTTTCAAAATTTTCTGCTTTTTATACTTCCATTATATCGGTAATATCGTGTTTAATTCATATCAATTTTAGAAGGTGATACATGTCAATTTTGTAGTGTGGGTAATAAAATTTTATTATAAATGATAATTTTATAATATGCTATAAAATAGGAATATGTTGCTTATCTTGTTGTATATCAATTTTAGTGTAACAGGTGCGTCCCTATCGCAAATTTGCTTGCTCTAGTAAATCATTTTAAAGTAATAAAATTTCCCCCTACACAGCCCTCACCCCCAAAAATGTAAACAATATATTATGAATTTGAAAGATAAATTAGTAAAATATAGAATATAATTCAAATTAACATTTTTATAAAAAAGTAAACTCACAAAGACCTACTATATGTGGACCTAAAGATCTCCAATAAAATTATGGGGGGGGCGACCTAATAATCCCACTCCCCCCCGCGCCCTCCAGTAAAAAATCCTTGATACGTTTATGTTTTTTAGTGTAGGGTATCATATTTTATTATAAATGATATTAAGCGATATGCAATTAAGTAAAACATTCAAAATATAAATTAATTTTTAAATTTTTACTTGTAAATTATGCATGTCTATTATTTATATGGAGTATTAAAAAAATTAAATAAACTGTGTAATATGAAGTCAATATTTTTTTATGATCTACAAATCCTGAACCTGAACCCTTTTTTAAAATGCTATTCCTGAACCGGGAACCTTTTTTTGTCGAAGGATTCACATCTCTGGTTAAAACAAATATTATACTAATAATAAAAATGTCAAATTATGTGTTTTATTTAAAATTATTATAGTTATTTAGACGAGATTAAACTTTTAGATTTAGATTCGATAGGTATCTATACAGATTAAATTTATAAATGAATGGAAACGTAAATAACGATATTTTTCATATATGTAATAATGACGCACCGAACATTGAATGCAAGCCCCATTACGTTTGCCCTTGCACACGGCACAAACAAAGTTCCAACGTTCAGCAGGTATCCTTGCAATCCCAGTTATGGGTTCCATCTTGTCTGGGTCTCCTATCCCGATTTCGGGTATCCAAAGTGCACAGCTTACGTGGCACCATTTGGACCCACTAGGTGTGGGTTTAAGAGCTCCGCCTGGATTTGGGCACAAACAACATCTAGGTTGGGTATTGCTTGTTGTTGAAACAGGGCTATAAGGAATCATATGAGAGGATTGAGAACTGGGAGAAACAGAAGGTAAAGGAAGAGAAGGAGGAGGTAAGAGGCTAGAATCGGTGCTTTGGGTTTGGCACGGGTTGCATAACCAACTACCACGAGGTATCTTAACAATGCCGTAACATGCCTTAAGATATAAAATAAATGAAGCTAAATATGCTGACTATACATGGAATATTATATGATGTATATAAGCGAAGTTTTAAAATTAGATAATATGCAAAGCGCGGCCCACAACCCGATTAATAAATATTATAATTGGCGAGGGAAAAAATTAAATGGATAGTCCAGACAATTTATATAAAATATCATGTAGGGCTCTGCTAATCTTTAATTTTTTGTAAAATTTTAATAGGCCAGTCAGAAATTTTGATATAATTTTTGAATCAAAATAAATCACATAAGTGCTTATTTCTTTTTATTTTACTAAAATATTAAATCTATAAATAATATAGTAAATTCATAAAAAATTAAACAATTTATGAATAATATAATTAAAAATGCACAAAATACAGATACCAAGCAAAAGATTTATAAAACGGTTGTTGCAGAAATAGATAGGAATAGAGAAGATATATAAAGGCTTAATTGATATGGGGTGTGGGGGGGGGGGTGTTATGGCCAGAAAATTTATACGAAAAATTTAACGGGTTATGGCAGATTTTTGGTATATTTTAAGGGGGCTGGGTGAATATTTTTGTAAATTGTTTAAACGTAAAATTGAACAAATGAGTAATAAATGAATAAGTGTTATTTAATTAGCTGGATTTTTAAAAGCAGCTAACCCTTTTTAGGAAAAAAATATTACTAAAGCCTAGAGATTTTGCTCATATACGGCAGAAAAATTTGGATATCTATCAGCAAAATATTGAGGATTGCATAAAATTATTTTGGCTAAAATCTTAATTTAACTCGTTAAATACCAAGGTATCAAAAACATAAAAATAATTTAATTTTCTTTATTAACCCATTAATCACCAATGTTAGATTTTTGGAACATCAACTTTGGCGTTAAATAATTCTTTTGTTTTATAATTTATAAGCTTTTAAAATTTTCAATTTCTTTTTTTTTAGCATCAAAAACTTTTAGTTTAGATAATATTTTAATTCAAAAAGAATATAATTCTAGTAACTCATATCCTTTAACTATAATTCATCAAAATATTAGCCTCAAAGGTATTCACTTCCGAAGATATAAGGTAAAATATTTTTATGTTCCATTTTTCAAACATTGGTAAATAACGATATCTATCAATTTTTAATTTTTACTAATTTTTTTATTGTCAACATGAAATTCGCTCATTTAAAAACAGCTTTAGACATATTATTAGTAAATTAGGATGATGTTGAACAATTATTGTATTACCACCAGATAATACAGGAGACGTCATAGATGAAGAAGGTAAAGATCAAGATATATCATCAGAACAATTAGAAGATGTTGGGGGAGAAGTTGAGATAAATAATCAGAATATAATAAATAATATACAACCATCTAAGAGGAAGATAACGATCAAGATATATCGTCAGAACAATTAGAAGATGTTGGGGGGAGAAGTTGAGATAAATAGTCAGAATATAATGAATAATATACAACTATCTAAGAGGAAGATAACGATCAAGATATATTGTCAGAACAATTAGAAGATGCTGGGGAAGAAGTTGAGATAAATAGTCAGAATATAATAAATAATATACAACCATCTAAGAGAATAAAAATTTCAAATATAAAATGGGGAAAAATTAGTGAAAGCATTATATATAATATGATTTCAAAAAAACAATTCAGAGTTAGAAAATTCTTTCCCTGCTATAAATGTAAAATCCCCTCTAGAACTATTTCGTATGTTTTTTGAAGAAGACATGTATTAACTTATAATAAATCAAACAAAACTATATGCTAATCAAAAATTAAATAATTCCTTTGACATTCAAGATTTGGACATTTTTATAGATATTAATTTTTTATATAGTGGATATCATATTTTTCCCCAAGAAAATTTATCTTGGTCTCAAGATGAAGATGTAGGTTCACATTTTATATTTCCAAAAAAATGTCTATAAATCGTTCCAAGATAAAAAGATATTTATATCTGGTCAACAATTCCGATATTGATAAAACTGGCATTCGCCAGACCATTTTTAGATGTTATTGGTCGAAATCTACAATAAATTTGGGATATTCAAAGAAAATTTAAGTTTGGATGAACAAATGATCCCCTATTATGGAAACCAAACTAGAAAGATGTATATGAGAGGAAAGCCAGTAAAATTTGGCGTAAAAGTTTGTATTTTATCTTAATCTTGTGGATATCCTTTTGCTTTTGATAGTTTTATTGGGATGGAGGACAATGAAACTAGTCCTCTTGGCGAAAAAGTGGTGACTAAATTAACAGCTGTTATTTCTGAAGTTCAAGAACACACTATTCTTTGATAATTTGTTTACTTCCACAAATTTATGCAGAATGCTAGGAGAAAATGGTTCACGTTGTACAAGGACAATCCGCATAAATCAAATCAAAAAATGTCCCTTGGATCAAAAACTAATGAAAAAAGTCCCAGAGGATATTATGAAACCGTCAATGATGTAAAGATTGTTTGGTGTTATTGGATAGATAGTCGTCCTGTAACAGTGGTGAGCAATTATCAAGGAATATATCCTCTAAATAAAGTCAAGCGTTGGAGTTCTAAACATAAGGTATATATTGATATGGATTAACCAAATATGATTACCTCATATAATCAACATATGGGAGGTGTTGATTTATTGGATAAATTTTTGAGTGATTATCGCCCTCTACTGCGCAGTAAAAAATGGTGGTGGTGTTTATTCTCTAACTTTCTTATTTATGTGTTGTAGCCGCTTGGTAAATACATATTACTTCTGGATCTTCTATTCCGAAGATTTATAGTGCGATCTTTTGAAAATGCACTTAAAATTCGATACCGCCCTGGCCGATCAAGATGCCTAATTGATTCAATCTAAGAGGTAGAGATAAGTCATATGCCAATTAAAGACAATCGTCAAAATCGCTGTAAAGGTGAAAAATAAATACGACATATAAGTGTGATAAGTGACGTACTTATAAATGCTCAAAATTATTAAAAAATGAACTAGTTACCTCCCAATGTTTGATTTTTGGAGCAAGAAATCATATAATGAATATATTTTTTTGAAATTTTGATATATAAATAGGTTTATACAATGTATTAATAAAGAAAATTAAATTAAAATTTTTTTTTAATGTCTTTGATACCTAAGTAATTAACGGACTTTATCTAAAAATGTTTAAAAGATTTAGGCAAAAATATCGGAAGAATTTTAAGTAATAACATTTTGAAATGACTGGGGTCTGCATAGTCGCACCTGTCAATGAATGATTAATTTATAAATTATAAAACAAAGGAATTATTTAACGCCAAAGTTGATATAAATTATAAAACAAAGGAATTATTTAACGCCAAAGTTGATGTTCCAAAAATCAAACATTGGAAAATTAAATCTCCCTGGTCGAGGTTTGTAATTTTATTCGTTTTAAAAAATATATTGCTTTACGGTCTGCTATAGGTTGGTAGAAATCTAATTAGCTTAAATTATGATAGATTAGACATAAAATAATATATTAAATTAACAATTAATAACATTTTGTAAATAGGTTTTAGAACATTAATTTAAAGAATACCAGATCTTTATTGATTATTCCATTCGTATATTACCAAAAAGAAAATCACAATTATTCGAAATGTTTATAGCTGAGTAACTCGTTTAAAAATAATACAACAAAAAATAATATCACATTTTTAGCTACTGAAAAACATGATTTTCGTACGTTATCTTGGGATTTTATAAAAGACTATTAAAATGAACGTAGTAAAATATATTAACATCAATGGCATATAAAATACCTAGACTGACGAGTCATTCATTAAAATAAAATACATTTTTAAGCGTCGTTAAAAGCAAATCAGCTGGACCCGACATTTTGGTAACACATATAGTAATTATTCCCATGTTTATAACTACTATTAAAATGAACTTGCTTCCTTATTATCTCGATGATCCGCTAATTCTCTAATAAAGTTTGCATCAGATATAGGAATAAATTAGGCTCTCGTTTAAAATTTTAATAATGATTAGTGTAACCAAGATGGCGTCTCCAGCTGATTTGCATTGATATACACTTTTAATGAATGAATCGTCAGTCTAGGTATTATATATATATCAATGATTAACATGTATAAAATACTATTTAAATGAAAAGCACATAATAATAAAGAGCAAATATATTACAGTAGGTCATTCTAGTATTCAGGCAGGAATCTTTTACATTTTAAATTATTCATAATGCATTTTTCGAAAACTGATCTTACCTGAATTTATTTTTAACATAATAGTACCTACCCGCTCTATGAATTTTTATTTTATACAATTTTATCATATGACTCAATTTTTTATATATTAATTATAACTTAACCCCAAATTTCACGACAAAATATCATAAATTCTTAAAATATGGAATATATATTAGAGATTCGCAACGAGCCGGTGGTATTTTTAAAAAAAAAATTGGGGCCGGGCCAAATCCGGCTTAAATTTTTAAATATGATATCATTACATTTTGTTTAATTCTTGCAAGAAACAAGACACTAATATTTTTTATTTGTTGAATATTTCTTTTTACAATAAAAAAATTAAATGTTTCTATATTTAAATAGGGCCGGGGCGGGTGGACAAATAATTTTCATATTTATTTCGGGTCGGGTTTTTCGAGACAAATAAAAATAATTTGAACCGAGCCTGGGAAATTAGGCTCGATGCATATCACTAATATATATTATGCCCATGCTAAAATACAGATAAAATCACGTCTTTAAAAATCGTCAGAACAGATTATTCTATGTCCACCTTCTGTAATTTTAAAAATTAAATTTCTATTATTTTCAACATGATGGTATAACTATGTTAGCTATAATCTAATATAGGCCCGTGAACTAGACACCTACTTTTAAAGATATCTAATTACAATATTATCAATAAAATCAAATGAGTTATAGTCTCTTAGTCTTTACTGATTTAACTTTTTAAATTTATTTGGACTTCTATTTCCCACATATGCGTGTTTCAACGTACACTAAGTCTGTCATAATTAGGACACAAAATTTTTTGTTTAAAATATAATTTTCTAAAAAAATAGTCTTTATAATATATATTAATTATTTCAAATAGCCTGTACTTTTGGGATTCAGAAGATGTTTTATTTATTCAGTGAAATTATTCAGGTTTGAATGAAAAGTGTCCCAACCATCCCCGTTCCCAATGGTAAAATATTATATTTACTATATTTGATATTAGAATCATTATTTGTATTCCGTAGTTTTTAGTTAAAAGGGCTGTGACGATTCATATATTTTTCACCGAACCGATCCGATATTGGCTCAAAATCGATCAGATATTTATTTATTTTTTACCACCGTCCTCTGAGCCATATGTAATTTAAAAATCCATATTTTCCATGTAAAAAAAAGGAATATGGATTTAATTTTATTTTAATATTTTTTTTTCTACAATTAAGACTATAATTTAAAAAAAAACTATATTATAATAAATTTTAAAAAATATAATTAATAATATATCCATTTTATTTTGAAATATATATATGTTAGTATGAATTATAAAAATGAAACATTTAATATATAAAATTATTATATTTTTTTAAATAAATATGTGAGCCTCTAGATATTCCGTCAATAAGCTTCTATGATGTGGACTATATCCCCTGCCGTACAGAAGATTCACTCAGTTAGAGCACTTGTTGCAGTAGGCGCCAAAAATTTACATGCATGTTTTGACAAAGTTGAATACTTTTCAGCACTAATTCTCCAATAGTCAAGTGGATCCACAGGAGATATAATATCAATATCAATGTTATTAGAGCACAGACATAAAATTAGAATTAATAGTGGGTTTCATATAAACCCAACCTTTGGTTGGTTTTGAAAAATAATCAGATACTACCCAAACAAATGGGTCAATCAAAACCCAACCAAGCAATATTAGATAAAATATGAAAAATATGTTATTATACAGTATAGATATAACGATTCTTTTATTTTTTCAAGTATGGAAGGTCATCTACATTATAATCGATTTCAATTATTTTATTTTCAACTAGTTTCTTTTTGATTTTCAATTTAAATAAATAAGATTCAGGGGGTGTTGTGCATTTCCATTGTTTTAGAAATAAATAAAAAATTATTTAAAATCTTTCAATTTTTATAAAAATAAATAAAAAATCTTTTGAAATATAATAATAATGAAAAATAAACTAATAAAAAATGTTAAAAGATCGGATCGATTTTTTACAGGTATCGACCCGATCCAATATTTTAAAAAGCTAAATATTGTACCGATCAGTATCGGCGCAGCCCTTGATAAAATCTTTAATTGAATGACAATAGATAAGCGTAAATATGTCATTTTTCATGCTTTGATCCCTGAAATCTTTAAAAATCAGGGACCCGAACCGTTATTCATAACGGTTCAGTATGTAAAAAATTATAATTGTTACGTTTTTGTTATGGGTCTTAAGAAGAAATTTATAAAGGTTTTCAGCTAATTATAAAGATTCATTACGGTTAGAAATTTTTTTTTAATGAAGCCACCATTTTCTAATTTATTTTTATTATATGCATCTATGAATTATATATAAAAAAAATATATAAAATTCAAAATAACTCATTTTTAAATATATTATTTGAACGTATAAGTAATATATTTTCTAATATAAATGGATTCCTTTTTGTTCGTTGTGACGATAACACAAATTTTAGCCCCGAAAAAGCCCTATCTACAGAAACTTGTGTTGCGGGAACCGCCAGTACTATAAGAGCAAGTTTATATAATTCTGGATATTCAAATTATTTTCATTTATAAAATATAAAAACTGAACCGGTTTAACCGTTTTTTATAAAGGTTCTTTTACTGCTTCAAAAAATTATTATATCGGTTCGGTTACGATTCAGATGTTTATAACGGTTCGTTACGGTTCACTCCGGGTCCCTGTTAAAAATATATAAAAGCTAAGATTAAAAGCTTGAACACTTATTTAGTTACGAATACTTTAATTTGTATACAAAATTTCAACCAAATCGCAAAGGGTCAGAGATTGGTAATGGATTTGATGCATGAAATAAAAAAAATATCATAATTATATATACAATCGCAATATAATTAAGGTTATACCAATATTATAAATTGATATTTATTTACCATCTATCTCTGAACCAATTTCAAATATATTTTTAATGCAAAAAATTAACTGTAAACTAGTGTTGTTAAACGGCTCAATTTGAGCCGATTTTTAAAAACGGCTAACTCAATATTTTATCCAGAAAAATATTATGCAAGTCTAAAGATTTTGCTCATAAAGAGCATATAGGATTGAACATCTATTGGTGAAATCTCGAAGCTTAGGCAATATTTTCCTGGCTAAAATGTTGAGTTAGCCGTTTTTAAAAATCGGCTCAAATCGAGCCGTTTAACAACACTACTGTAAACTATGGATAAATGATACACTCTTTGTTTCTCATGGCCAAGGCAATATTTAATCTATTATCGAATGATTAAGTGCCTTTTGTATTTTTTTATTCCCTAGAAGTTAATCATCTCTTTTAAAATATGGGAAATTTTTATGGCTGATGAATGTGATAGTTAAATATTTTAATTTGTTACAAATAATATATCCCTCCAAAATATCACATTTTTAGTTTACAGATACCACTTTTTGTAGGCAAGGGCGTCAAACCGAACTGCGAAACCAGAACGAATCATTATAATTTCCTGAACTGTTGCCGTTATAAGGAAAATATAAAAAGAGTATATTTTTGAATCGGTTTAACCCGGTTCATAATGATGTTTAAAAATAACTAATTTAAATTATTAGCCTAAATTTGGAATTTTAATTTTTCTTGGGGGCAATTTAAATTCGTGATTTCTTTTCAAATTAAAATTTTTTCACAATTAAATCGCCATTACCTTCATATCAATAAATACCAAGTTTATTGTTTTAACCTATTAATAGAGATTAGGCAAATTACTAGTTAATTAGGTTAGAAATAATCTTCATGGTTAAATTAAATAAGGAATTATAAAAATATAAATTAAAAAGATTTTTTTCTTAGATTAATATATATATTATGATTAATTTTTTTTAAAAAAATTAAATTTAACCAGAACAAACTAAAAAGAACCGTTATAAATTATAACCGAACCAATATGAATTTTTTCAAAAAAACTGAATATAAAATTTTAAACTAAAAACCGAAAAAAACTGTTTTACTTAAGGAGCAGCCATATTGGAAGCAGATTAGATATTAATAGTCTGATTTTTTGACATTATACATACTTAATATATTTTAATTTGTGATTATATTATAACCTTACCATAAGACATTTAAAATAATATGACTGGGCAACTTCATGAATCACCCAATAATTTGAACGACCATTTTAAAAATGAATGAACCTTTGTGTGAAGTTAAATAGATTGTATATTTTAAATAAATCAAAATTTGAATGCTCTAGCTCCAATATATCCCTAGTTATGGATCTTCAAAGTACAATGAAAACTTTTAATCTTTTAACAAATCTCAAAATATTTTTGGTCTTAAAGTAACAAATTATATATCATTTTGTAGCCCTTAAAATTCTCTTATTTCAATAAAACAAAAAAATTACTTTATTTAAAATATATTTATAAATAAAAATATGTATATTAAAAATAACCATAAATTTCTCCAAGATTATTATTACACTATAAATTTTTTTAAAAAAATATACTTTTAGTAAGAAATTAAAAAAAAACTTTATAAAATAAGAAAATGTTTACTTGGTGTACACATATGTTGCATATGTCACAAAAGACCATCTCATTACCTTCTTCACTATCAGGCTAAAAATAATTGATTATTTTTAAATATAAATTTATGCATACAGATCGGCATACATCACAGATAACATTTTCATCATACTCCAAAGCAATTTCTTTTTCTTTTAAAAAAGAATCTTTGAAATTTGTATAACAGGATTTCTCAAGTTCTAACATAATTCCCTCAAATAATTTTATTGATAGGTATGGATTAGTATTAAAATCTAATGAATATTATATTATAGTTATTGTAACAATTGACAAACCTTTTTTTAATGGTTCCTTGGAATTATCATCAATTAATAAGGTAGAGTTAAGAGTTTTCAGCCAAATTAGATCCATTAAATCAATATTGTATTGATGGTAATTGTTTTCAAAATTCATGGAATTATTTTTATATTTTCTTAAATCAGAAGGATGATAATAAGATGAATATAACCTATTAATATTTATTTTAATGTTATCTGCAAATATATTTTCCTTCCTATCAGTATTTTCAATTTTATCATTGGTAAAATATTCAGTAGCCTGGTTAATATGTAAATCTTCAATTTTTTTCAAGGATCTTCTTTTTGAAGGCAGATAATCATTCTTATTATTTAAACCCATGGTGTTAATGGAGAGATTAGATAGAAATAGGTGGTGTAGCTCATTAGAAAAGTGCAAAGATTTAGATTCAAGAATGTCATATATAGAAATATTTTTTAAATTAGGTTTGTTGAGATCATCAATAAAACACACAGGAATTTGAACTCCTTTATCCCACTCACCTCGCCAAGGATCAGATAATGTTATATAATCATCTTTTGAAAAATATTCAGAATCAGGAACTTTCATTGCACTAATTAAATCTGTTCTATACAACTATTCAAAAATTTGAAGACATGCATAAAATTTAATAAAACTTCAGCAGGTTTATTATTGCTTGAGAAGGCTGGTGTAATATACTTTTCTGAAAATTTTGATACATCATATGGATGATATCTAATTGAGTTCATAACTATAAATAATTTATATAGGTTAAACTTATCAAAAATAACTTTTTTCCTGCTTTAGTTTGAATTTCGAATTTACAGATTTATTGTGTCGCATTATATTAAGAGTTGATAACAACCTCGTCATACGATGTGAATTCCTTTTCTTTAAAAAATTTTCAACACCCATCTTCTTACTAAAATATCTAACCATTCGCGAAAATCAATCTCAAAGTAAAACTAAATGTTACTATAATTATAAGCCCATAACACTATTAAAAAATGTCGATATAGATATATATAAAATGCGAGCCATTTCATTTTCTATTTTCATTTGATTTTACATATGAATATCACTCCATGTGTAAAAATTGAAGTAAGAAAAATATAACCATATTTAAAAAATAGTAGAATTTAAGCAAAATAAAAAAAACTTCATGTAAATGAACATAATTTTATATGATTATATATAATTATATGTCCTAAAACATTATTAATAAATATATAACTTATGAAATGAATAATATTTTTATTTATTATATTGAACCTTATATTTTATATATTATTGCTTCTCAATTAAAGTATATATTTATTTTATTACTTATTTTTAATTCATTTCAGATTAATATTTACGTGATACGTGATATTAAGCGCACTAGCCCTAAACGTTGGACAAATATAATCGATCACGTGACTACCATTTTTATTTAAAAATACAATATTTAATTTTTACATATAAAAAAAATTGGAATATAATGTCTTATATGTTATCACATTTAGAAAACGGTTGGCAAGTTGATCAAGCAATTCTTTCTGAAGAAGATCGCGTAGTACTTATTAGATTTGGACATGATTGGGATCCAACCTGTATGCAAATGGATGAAATATTATATGGGATTGCTGAAAAAGTCAAAAATTTTGCTGTAATCTATTTAGTTGACATTTCCAAAGTTCCAGACTTTAATAAAATGTATGAATTATATGATCCATGTACAACCATGTTTTTTTATCGCAATAAACATATGATGATAGATTTGGGTACTGGTAATAACAATAAAATTAATTGGGCACTAAGTGATAAACAAGAAATGATTGATATTATTGAAACAATATATAGGGGTGCTAGAAAAGGTCGTGGTTTAGTAGTTGCACCTAAAGACTATTCTACCAAATATCGTTATTAATTTTCTATAATGCATAATTATTTTGTTAATTGATAATATGTTTATGTCAAATGATGAATGGATTAAAAGAATAAATACTGCAAAAGGATATCATTTATATATTATATAATCTATTCTATAACAAGTTTGTGATTAAGGTCAGAAATGGGGATCAGTAAAATATAGCCACATATTGTTTTTTAAAAAAATATTAATGTAATTCCATACCAGATTGACTAAAAAAAACATGATTTGCATGTGACCCTTTAAGATCTTAGTCATTTTTATATACAAATTAAGGACACATAACTAAATATCAAGGGCAAAGTATAAAATATCTATTTTTAAGCTTATTGGTTTTCATTTTATTAAAGATTTACTAAACTACAGAATTATAAATAGTGATTCTAATTAGTCATCTGCATAAGCCTAATTTTTCAAACCCATGGCCCAAGATTTTTTTTAAAAAGTTTTGCCAGCCTGGCCCTAACCAATAAAAATTTACCTGCCCAGCCTGACCCAAATTTATTTAAATATTGATATTAATTTTTATAATTACTCAAAGTAAAAGATATATGTTATATGGCATCTTGGTTATAGAAATAAAATCAAATATTTTTATTTAACATTAAAAATTAACATAAAATTAATAAATTTAGATATATTAAAAAAAAATCCCAAAGCCCAACCTGGCCCATATTTTTTTTTAAAATATTGGGCCCAACCCAGCCTACTTTTGCAGATCTCTAATTCTAATATCCAAATTAGTGTTAATAATTCGAGTTATTTCAATCATGACTAAAAGTCATGTGAGTAACATGATTGACCAAATTAATCAACCAATTAGTAGATTAGCACTAATTTTTTTTTGATTCTTTTAATTAAATAAATATGATTATCTATTTATTGCTACCATATCCTTCACTTTAATCCCAAAATTTTAAGGAATTAAAAAATAAAAGTTAGTTTTTACAACAATCCATTTTATTTTTAAAAAATAAGACTGGGAATGTAAATATATGCACATTAATTAGTCACAGGAGTCATATTGAGTTATTTTTGTTAACTTGATTTAATTGTTTATAAACACTAATCCAAATAGTAGGTGTACATTCTATTTTTTAAAATTTATAATATTTCCCTGGCCCTAAATTGAAAAACAAGCTAGACTGAATATTTTAAAAAAAAATTATGCCAAGCTGGGAAAAAAATATGCCTCGATTTATGATTTTTTGTAAAATTTTAAAAGGCTAGTCGATATATTTAGGCAAATATTTTTATTAATACTAGTTGAAAATTATTACAATATGCTTATTTCTTTGCATTTTTAGAGCTGTCCAGGGATCCAAACCGAACTGGTATTTTTTGCAAAAAGATTTTTTAGTCTTGAATTGAACAACATACCTCATAATTTTGTGCTTGTAAAATAGTATAAAAGTATTGTTAAAATTCTAATTTATATTCTAATTATTTTAAAGATTATAATCTATCAATTTTGATTGATAAGTGAAACATTTGTATATATTAAAAACATTTTTTAAATATTTTAAAGGGTTAATGTTAGATATAATTGAACGAACCAAATTTTGATACGATTGAGTCAACACTTGTTTATTATTTTAAAAAGGTCATTCTTGAAGAACGTCTATGGCCTAGTCAAATGTGTGCATATATGTCAATCTGAAGATTCTGGGTTCAGGTTTTTTTTCTGAAGCCAACTTGGTGGTTTGGAGGATGATATATAGTAAATCGGACTCTGCCACACGATTCCATTAATAAATATTAAAAAATAAATAGGTTTTATTAGATTTTTTAAATAATTGGTCGTTGTTTAGTAATTGTTATATATTGGCCATGTTATATCTAACAATAAACATTTATAAGCTTATAATAGCTAGAGTAAATTGAATTCAATATATAAATTATTTACACATAGTATTTTATATGACACCCCAAAATGTAATATCACTGATTATGACACAATGAAGGGACACAAAGGTGCACATCTTGAGCGTCACTAGAAAAGAAACGACCATTAGCGTCATTAGGGGGCACAAGGGCTTAATCTCATGTAAAAAAGTAATTTCAGATAATGTTAGCTTAAAAAAGAAAGTAATTTTAGATAATGTTAGCAGCTAAAAAAAAGGTAATAATTTTGAAAATGATTTAATAAATGTTTTATGAGCTCCTTGAGATTGTAATGAACCGGTTTTCAAGTTAAAAAATATATTAAATAATTCATCTTACTTGGTATCGACTTCATCTTTTTGTCGTTCGAACCGATATTTTATTTTCTACGAACCGAACCTTGAAGCGTTATTTTTATCCGAACCGATATTCGGGTCGAACTAAAATACTAAATCTATAAATAATATCGCAAATTTACAAAAATATAAACAACTTATTTATAATATAACAAATGCATATTTCCACAAACACAATTGATTAGTATAGGTTTGTAAAAATAGATAGCCATATATGAGAGATATAAGAAACCTTAATTGACACTGATAAAAAATTAGATATCGATATTAAAAATAAAAATGTGATCTGATAATATAACATATCAAGTTATTAAGGAAATTAAAATGCACATTAATTAAGTTTTTTAAGGCAAAGAATTTTTCATTTGTTATTTCTTTATAATACAGATTTTTGATGGTAAATTATTTCCCACTATGAAAAACCGTTCACAAGTTGTTTATGCATAACCTTCTTAATCACGTCACATGTCTGATTGAATAATTTGATCGAATAAATAATTCTTTTCATTCGAATAATTTTGTATACTCATACAAAAAACGAATAATTTACTATTTGTATTCCTTTATCATTTGATACGAATTATTCGAAACGAATATTCATTCAATTTGTTTTTGAATAGGCCTCAAAATTAAATGGGAAAAAATTCCCAGGAAGATAATTACCCGAATATCCCAGGAAAATAATTTCCCGGTTTTCAGTTATTAAAAATATTATATTTTTTGGGGAAATTAATAAATTAAGAGGAAAAATTTCCTATAAATATATCCACCATATAAAATATCAAAAACGTTTGAGAAAATCAACAAAATAAAAAGTATTCCCAAATAAAATTGTTAACCAAAATTATAAACAATAAGAATTAGTATATGTTAAACTAAACTTAATTTAATTTTTAAAATATTGAATAGCTGTAAACCATATAATGTTGTTAAGGTCTTATACCAACCCAGTTTTAGTGAATTTAAGCAAAAAATTATTATAACTAAGGCTAATTATATCATACCCCTAACCTAGATGTATAGTTTCTGTCATATTAAACAAAATATTATCAAAAGTTAACATTTAATTATAATAATTTGGCCCGGATTTTTTAAATTTTTGAAATCGACCCAGATATTTCGGTATTGACCACCAGGTCTCTACTTCAATTAAATCTAAATCTGAAATTTGTTTTTTACATTCACATATGGTTTCAAGTAAATTAAAAGAAAATTATTTTTGTTAGTCTTTAAAAAATTTTCCCAACTTTTAAATAAATATGGAAAAGTATTTCAAAGGCTTATAAGAAATTTCATAAAAAATATCTTCATATAGGGTTGGCCAATAAAAATCAATTGTATTTAAATCACTAACATTTAAAATAAGATTTCTATTTATTGAGTTTGAATAAAATACTTAATATAACGAAAGACAAAGACTTAAATTATTTTAAAATTAGATAATTTTTATATGAAAAATACTAAATTGCTGGGGCGGAGGCCAGTAAGCCTAGTGGAAAAATGTCCCACAGTGCTTCGAGATTTTTAAAACTCGAGGGCTTTTAGGAAAGAATTTTGGGGCCATAGGAAGAAAAATAATTTTTAAATAAATTTCAAAATTTATTAAATATTAATTTAATGGTGGAAAAGAAATAAAAAGAAATTAGATTTAAATGCACTGTCAGGATTTCCTCTTACCATGCCCTCAGTGGCATAGACAAGGGTGAAGGAGGGGTTGAGATTGCACCTCCCTCCCTCCGCCTAATTTAAAAATTTTTTTATTTGAGATTATTTTTTTATTATTACGAATAATTTTATTTATAAAACGGAAATAAAATAATATGTACGTTATCTAAATGAAATAAACAAATAGGAACTTTCAATTTTAAATGATTACATGGTTTAAATTAAAAATTATATGAACTAAAATATTAAATAACAGGGAGGGGGGGGAGGTCTATAAAGATATACTGTAGGAGGAAAAAAATATTTTGAAAGATATTTTTTGAAAAACAATTATAAATTTAATAATATAATTTATATTGTTAAACAAATAATATAGTTTTAAAAATAATATTTTATTTTTTAAAATTTTTAATTAAAAGAAAAATGGGTAGGTCTACAAGTCGAAAGGCTGCATGATACGAAAGGCTAAAAAATAATATTGAAAATAAAAAACAACAGAGAAAATGTTTAATGAGAATTTTGATTGATTTATTGCTTTCTTTACGAGAAAAATATTATAATAACATCTTCTATATATATATAATCACCGTAATCAAGAAATGAACTTTTTCGTATATCCTTTGTTAATTTTTATTTTTCTTATCAACTTTTCTATCTTCTTAATGTTAAATAAATCGATGGAGACTATATCTTTCTAATGTTAAATTTTAAGAAAATTTTTTGTACATACCTGGATTCGAACCCATGACTTAACGTGTTAAGTATAAGTTCTTCCCACTCAGCCACCTTCTATATTAAATTTTGTAATATAATCTTTCTTATATATGTTATTGTTATGCAATTTTATTTTTATTGGCTTATTAATCTTTATTTTTATTGGCTTATTAAGCTCTTATTTTATTGGTTTATAGTTATTTATAATTTTAAAATCAACCATTTTTATTTTAATTAAAAATATCGCAACAAATGATTACAACAGGACATAATAGTACATCTGCCAAAGGTTCCAAAATATAGGAGACAGTAATTAAAAGGATGTTTAATTTTTATAGATATTATTACAGAATAAATCACCATCAGGTTGGCACAAGATTTAAATCATGTTTGAGCTTACCTCTGGTTATCAGAAAATAATTTTAAAGTCTCAACTGACCCATACTCAATCTGCATTTCACAT